AGCCCGGGGAGGGGGGAGTACTCCCATATATGGGCAATATAGGTACCTGCCGCGGAATAGGGTATGGTTTTTGAGGTTCTCGGTCCTTAAATAGGGTATCTTTTTTAACCCTTTTGTTTCTGTGTCCCTGGTGTGGTCCTTAGATAGGGTAGCTTAATTGTATTATCTAATACTGGAGTGTGAAAACGCCCGCCTAAACGAATATTTTTTAAACTAGGCTTATTCTAGTATTTTTATGCTTGATGCTATACATCCAATGTTACAGAGAAGAAATATAGTTTTCCTTTTCATGCTATTAATAATTTTGTTTTTTCCTTGAATAGGGTGTCATTTTTCGGCTTTCGGCCTTAAAAAGGATATCAGTTTTCCTTTCTTAGTCCCTTAAATAAGGTTAGGGTGCACGAACCTTCGCGGCACACCCCTATCCAAAATTAGCGGGTGTACCCCCCGGGGATCAAGCTGTCTCGATTACCAACCACAAAAAATTCTCTTACGTGCCCAAAGTCCGTGATAACACTGATTACCGGCTTTACTGAAGCTCGGTCTTCAAGCCACCCTTCTTTTACTGAAGCACAAAATGCTGAAACAAAAGCAAAATTTAATATGCCTTTCGGGAGCGACTACACAGGAAATAGAGGTCATTAGTCACCTGATTAGTACGGCTGTGGATAGAAATTAAGAACGATGAAGGAGTTATCTTTGGTGGTCGTCAGTGGGCTTTTGTTGTGGCTCGTTTTACTCAGCAGTGGAGCTGAGGACTTGTTTGTTGTTTGTATACCGCAAAAAAAAAAAAAAATCAAATCTGACAAATGAGCCAAACGAACCGCTCGATGCCTGATGAAGTGTGCAAGTGACGCTGCATTCTATCAATGAATTTAAGCCGAAATTGAATTCGCAAACATAGAAGTAAAGCTAAGAAAGATGACAGATTTTTCTTGGAATAAAGAGTTTAACAGTAGTTCTTTCAATTTAACTAAAACAGTATCGAAACTCAGTTGAGAATCACCGTAAGTTCAAAATAAATTTAAAAAAATATTTCTGAGTAGGAGCTTATTGATTTAGATATATTTATTGAAAGCACTAAGTTGTATATGGACTTAAAGTGTATTCACGGCATAACTGACTGGAAAGGTCTCAGTGGAAGAGTTGAGGGTGGTCTTAACTTGACGGTAATTAAGGAGGATGACCGGATATCGAAATGATTCTCCTTAAGAAAGCAATTGAAATTCGTTCCTTACATCGCTCGCCTTCAGTTTCAGTTTGGAGAAAGACTAAAGTTTTTGAAACAGAATAATGCTGAAATTCTAAAACTGAGAACGACCATGATCCTGAAATAACGTGCTTCGCTCAAGAGGAGGGAGCTGAAGGAGCAAAGGATGAGTACGAAAAGAATCTTCATTATAACAGTTTTATACCAACTGATGCCATTTAAACTCAGCAAGTTATGAGTATAAACCGCAAACCAAACATTAACAGGAATACAGTCATGTAGTTTTATAAACTTTGTCAATGTTATGTCAAGTCTCTTCATATTTGTATGATAATTCTGAAACTGACTGAAACGCACCAACAGGTGCATAAAGTATTACGTAAAATCAGTGAATGGCACATTACGTTTTCCAAATCAGAACTCGGGAAAAAATATCTGAATTTTCTTTAACATTGCCCTCAAATAAACAATAACCCCCATAACTAAAGCCAATAAACCCTGAAATATTAGTCAAGATATAAGTGTGAAGCGTTCGCCGGGTTGTAGAAGCCCTTAGTTTTTTCAATTCAGTAAACTGATCTCACGCTTGCCGGTCTTTCTGAAACTAAACTGGGACGAACATGACTTTTTTCAATGGCTTTGCTTTAACGTCTGATTGCAGAACAAAAAAGTACCGCGCAAGCTTAAATTTGATTGCACGTTTTTCAGGAGGAGAGTGTTGTTATATGTGATTTCCACGGTTGGTCGAATATTTCAAGGATGAAGCTTAAATAATTGAGCGTCTTGTCGCGATACCTCACTTATTCCCTTTACATGACATTTTCGCTAACAAAACTAAAATCCTAATAGTTTCATTTTACCACTACTAATGAAGCGATGGAGACCGAAACAGGAAAAAATACATGCATGCGTAGCTTAAAAACTAGTTAATACTAACAGATTTGTTTTAGGAGGATATCATTTCTACGGTTGGTCGTTTTGAGTTTTAGTAATTTTTAGACTTAAAGTATGCGACTCTGACCGAGGTGACTATTCTTTAGTTTGTAATGATTCAATAATGTCCCCGTCGATATGATCAATTTGTCACTGAGAGTAACTCACCACGACTTTTGATGTCTGCGATTTGAAATCAGGTATTGGTAAGCCGATCTTACTGTTTGATTCATGCCACCCCGCTTATTTCAAGCACATAAGTACATGTATGTTTAAGTCTGATTTAGTCTACAGAAAATTATTAGCCAAAGCTAAAACATGTACAGTTTAGGGACTTGTCAGAAAATAGCAGAGGGGGAGGGGCATGGGAATTTTAAATTTGGGTTCGGAAATCAGGTGACCCATCCCTGCAATGGGAGTGAAATTTGTTAACTCTCCCCTTGAGCTTGGCCTAAAATATCATGACCATCCCCACCTTACAGAATTGAAAGAAAAATGTTCCAGGTTCGTAAATGTTCCAGGTGCTCTTAAAGTATTCCAAGCCAACAAGAAAAAAAAAGGAAACAAAAACAAAATAAAAGGAAAGCAAAAAAGCTAGGACAAAAAGAATGGAAGTAAACTGCAAAAGAGTAATTCAAACCATTGCACCTCAGCAAGAGTCGCATGATGTTACAGAGCCTATTGGTCCATTATCTCTTCATTCATTATGGAGGAATAAGTGGGCTCCTCAAAACACAAAGGCCATATATCCAATATGCCTTTGAGAAGGGATTGTTCAGCAATGAATCACAGGAAATTATCAAGCAATATCTACGCTTCAACTGAAATGAAAATCATGATGATGATGAAAGTGATTGTATCAATGCTGATGACATAAATGATGATGATCAAGATGCTCACACCAGCATTGATGGTGATGCTGAAGACAGTGACGAAAAGGATAGCTGAAACTCTAATAACATTAACAACAACATTATTCATAATAAAAATGCAATAAGACTCTACGGCATTGTTATAAATGAAAAGTAGATGTTTGTTTAATTCTTGCCATAGTACTTCACAGGTTATATCCATAATGTTCTGTTCCATTTTCTTTTTTTTTTTTTTTATCAAATAAAGAACTTCCTTTTTCTTCTGTGGGTGAACCTCTACATGATCATGGGCATATATTTGCATGACCCCTCCCCTTTTAACGGCAGATTTTTCATGACCCTCCCTTTTCGGAGTCTCAAAAGTGGTGACCCTCCCCTGTTTCCACCCCTCTCCCCTGCTAATTTCTGACAAGTCCCTTAAAGAGAAATAATATTGTTAAGTTACCAAATATAAAGTTACAATAATGATGAATCTGTCAGGGTTTATTAAGAAAGTCAGTTTTACAGCTTGCCATTGGACAGGCTGTACCGAGCATGTGCTAGCCCAATAGACACTTAACTAGCCCCCAAAAAGAATTTTTAACGAGCAGGATTGATAAGAGTTAAATAAAGGCAGTTTTAAGGGATGCTTGTCAACTGAAGACAGTCCTCTCCCCTTATAATACACTGTAGGTTATGTAACAGTTTCAAAGTTGGATCATTTGCTTAGTGTCGTTAGAGTTAAAGAGATGCTTTGCCTGAAAATCTGGGGAAAACCACTTCCCAGAAACCATTAATGCTTTATTTAGTGAAAATTGTTGGAATTAACTCTTAAATGTTTTTGGGAGAGCCTTTTATGAGTTATCAGATTGTTGCCCACTGAAATCGAGTAGAGCATCGTAAAATACCTTGTTTTTGCTGAAAAAACCGCAGAAATCTTAATAGTAGAACAGCTTCGACTTTCCACTTGTACAAGCGGCCAATCAATTAATGTTTCCCCTTTATCTTTGTCTCCCTTCTTTCTTCTCTCCTGTTGTCTTTGTTAGGCAGGAATGTGCTGATTTTTTCCTGTTTAACAAAGAATTCTCTTTTACTTTACAGAGCGTTGTTTGGTGTTCACACATGTCTTCCATTGCAACATTTTTATTTAACGCCACAATCGGTTGGCTCGTGAATAAAGGAAGAGATGTGACAGCAGAAAAGCTAAAAGAAGGTGACGTGACGGATAAAAAAGTCCGTGATTTGATAGTGCGAGAAGTGGAAGATATCAAGTCAAAGTTGGACGGATTATCAAGAAAGGATCTCCTGGCAGCTGTGGATTCCTTTGAAACAGGAGTCAGGTTTCTCTTTCAGGCACTCGATGTAAAACCTAGTGGGGAAGCCAGTACCGCAACAGAAAAGACCTCTGTGGCAATCAAAGAAGAGAATGTTGACTTAACAGATGTCGTAAAGATAGGTTCCTTTGCCTCAGAGATGGAAAAGATTCAGAAGATTGATCTTGATGAGGCGACAAAGATTAAATGTTCTCAAGCCGAAAAGAGATTCAAAATGGCCCGTGAAAAAGCAACAGAGGCCTCCAACAACGAAGCTCTTGAGGTTTTTGACCGGATCACAGCCATTCGATATCGTGTCATGGCAGCAATATTAGAGTCAGTGGTAGAGACAGCGAGAACCGTGGGTGACTTGTCCCCAGCATCTGTAAAAAGTGCATTGGAAAATGCGTTACCCGAGTGCGATCAGTGCCTTCAGAAACTTCATTGTCTTCCAGCTGTTCAGGACTGTTTTAAAGTTGGACTGGAAAAGGTCTCCTAAATTTGAGAGGACGGTTTGGTAAAGATGAGCGAAGAAGGATAATTTCCACGGTGTGCCAGGTAAATCGCGCCATCTACAATGCGACACAAGCAGTTGGTGGAGACGCCTTGGTCTGGCCACTTGTCGACACTGGAGAAGAAAAAGTTGATCCTCTGCGCGATGGAAGAATATCAAAGGTACTGCACAAAGTAAATATGGAGCACTGCTTTGTTTCACCATGGTCATTTGGTCACGAGGGTGATGAGGAGCACAAGCTGAAGAATCCGCGTGGTATCGCTACAAACCATAGAGGACAATTCCTGATAGCAGACAATGGGGATACAACCGTGAAGGTGTTTGATAGCAACGGAAAATTTGATTTTAGGTTTAATCCTCAAACTGATGACGCCCATACAAAGTTAGTTATTTTGGATGTCGCCACTGCAGGCGAGGACGACAACATTTATCTACTGGTCAGACTGGAGAGGCCTGGGGCTAAGGAGAGGGAAGTGCAGGTTTTTAACAAGACCGCTGACTTACAGCACAAGTTTCCTGTGAGGAGTGGGGACTGGAGACTAACAGTGACCAGCGGCAAACAACGCGGCAAAATTCTGCTGTTGACACGTGACGTGTTGACAGGTGATGACGTTGTTGATATTCATGAGCCGAGTGGTGAGTTCGTTTGTAGCTTTGGTGGAGGACTGTTCAAGGATGCAAGAGATATCACTGCTACTTGTGATGGTCGTGTCATGATAGAGGACCGAGGCGATGACAGTTTGTACATATTTGATGTGGAGGGACACCAGCTTGGCAAATTTAATATCAAACATGAGAAAGATTTCTATGATCGCATTGGATGTCACCCGGCAAGTGCAGACCATGTTGTCCTTGCTGGTCAGGAACGAGAGACACACCGCCTGACGCTGGCTATATACACTGTTAATGGCGAATTTGTTCGCAGAATTCAGCTGGATGAAGTAGTACCATATGATGTACGTGGAATAACAGTGACCGTGGAGGGTCACATTGCTGTGGCTTTACAGGATATTACAGACGAAGGTACTCTCCAAGCAAAGGTAATTGTTGTTTAAAACTAAAAAATTCGAAGACACAAGTCAACAGTTCTTATTTTACTTTCATGAATAAATGTCATCAAGGCAGATGTTTAAATTTAATGCTGCAGTTGACTGGAATCACTGGACATGACTGCATTAAGCCACATACACTGGCTTAAGTTCACTGATGTTTGTAGTAAATCTTGTGTTATCGCTCTAACTAAGAAACCAAAGCAGGTAAAATGAATGAGATACATGTACAGTAAACACTCGCTAATAAGAACCTAACTTACATTTTTTTTTGAGGTCTGGCAAAAAAGGTTCATTTATTTTGGGGTACGTTACAGAGTAATTAAGGCTAAGTACAACTGTAGGTTCTTAATTTTTATGAAGGAGATGTGCAGGGTGTCCCAAAAGTTTGTTCCTCTAATTTCATGCTCAGTGTTAACTTTTGATCAAAACTTTATTTTTACATGAAATTTCTAAAAGATGTTTATTGCTCTATCAAGTACATGATTGTATTCAGAAGTTCAGTAAGCTGCAGGTCCCCTTTTTTTTCTTATCACATTCTGTAGCCGTTGCACATGGCATAGAGTGGGATAAGTCATCATAGCGTCTAGAGCCCCATATGAGCCACTTTTAGCTTTTTCATCACCTGGTACACAGAAGCCACTTTGACCCCCAAACAATATCATTTTTTTAGATTAGGCAGCCAAAAAAATATTTTAAGCATTCATGTAAACAAAATATAATCATCCCGGCCTCTCTCTGCAGTAAGGTTTATTTACTTCTTTGCCAAGGAGACTAGCTGAACGTTGCTTGGTGGACTGAGCAAGGTTTTTTTTTGCCATCTCACAGGCCTCCAACCGTCTCTGTCCAGGAAACTGCCCCAGACTTAGCTTGCTAACTGTTGTGAGAGCCGCCTTGTTGAGTTTCCTTTTCTTTTTGCCCAGCCTATTCTAGAACTATTTTAGCTGCTTTATTCAGGACTTTATGTTCTCCAGCAGCTTCTTAAACCACAGTTTCTTATTAGTGAGTGGGTGTTTACTGTAAGTACAGTAACATTCTTTTGTTTCTTTAACAATTGGTGGTATAATAATATTTTTGTTTGTGCAGAATGGAAAATAATACAATCCAGATTCAGTTGGTTTACAAAAACATCCTCATCATTTACCAGCTTCTCTATAACTCTTTTTGTTAAAGATTCAAGTTTTTAAGTTTGAAATGCTCTACATTGTAACTCAATCGCATGCCACATCAAAATACACCTTTGAAATCTTCTCCAGGAAAAATATTTTATGATGCTCTCTAATTAAAATATTAAGCTTGACTCCGGCTTTTAATGTTAGTATACAGCTGTTGGTGAAACTCTGCAGCAATCACCTTAAAGATGGAGATCTCTAAGTGTTTATTATGGGGAAATGGGCATATAAAGCCTTGTTTCCATATGATCATCCCGATCACCCCAGTCGTTTAAAAAAGTTTTGAGATGATCCAGACAACTGGGACGATAGGTGGTTTCCATGAGATCGTACGGGTGCCTCAACGACAAGAGACACGGGGTGTCATCAGCGATGTCTCTGAGTCAGACAATAGAATTTTTGTGTGGGTTTCACAAACAAGCCAAACATACATGTAATGATGGATTTTAAATGGTGAGCAAATCTGGAGCTATGCTATCTTCTTTTTCTCTCTGTTTTGTGGTGTCAACAAACTAGAAGTCAGTTCCACAAAGATATTGTATCACGTATAGAACTTGATGAAACACACTTTCTCTTTAATTCAAATAGCACCCATACGTGATGTGAACATTTTTAATTATTTTTGACTTCAGCGGCATCCAGGCCGAATATATTCTCAATTAATGGAATGATAGTGATGATTTCTGGGATAGCCTTTAATCGTCCTGATAGTCTCAGTCATCTGAGAGCATTTCCAGATCACTTCAGAATTTACACGATGCTCCCAATCGTCCGCATAGAACTCAACTCTATTCACGCGATCGATAGAGGTCATCTCAGTCATCCAGGTCATTTGCGATCGTCTGGGTAGGGTTTTCATATGATTGTCCCGATCATCTGAACATTATTTGAGGCATCTGGGACAATCAAAGTACAGCCAAAATGTGTCAATGACAGTGTTATCATGGACAGACATAATCAGGGAAAATCTATAATATAAATAGTTATACATATGATTATAAAAGAAATGTGATTTTTCTTGGCCAGAGGAAAATCAGGAAAATCAGGAAAAGTTTGCAAGTGGTCAGGAAAAGGCACTTAATGTGAAGGTCTGTGAAAAGTCAGCCGCAAGTTTATTTTCTGGTAAAAAGTTTTCAGAAAACACAGTGAAAATCATTTTAAAAAAGTCAAAAACAAAGAGTAGAGTAATATTGATTTTTTTGGGGGGGAAATATTTCTATAAGTTTCTGCTGCTGAATTAATAAACTCTATATGAACAACAAGCAAACAAAACCTCAGGAAAAAAAGTTGTTTACGGAGCAAAACAAAGCAAATAAGGTGTTGTCTGAGATCTAGAGTTTCTGCTTCAAGTTGTTTTTTGCATATTAACTTGAAAAGAAGCTATGACATCATTGCCTATAACAAAATGCTGTAAAATTAATATTAATGGCTTTGTGCCCAAATCTTAATCAGCTAACAAGGTCATTATTTAACCACTGCTAGGATTTTGTTGCATGATAAATATGTGGAAAAAATGAAAAATATTAATGTAAACATGCCTATTAGTCTGTTATTCAATAAAGTTATAAGCCATAGATGTTTATTATTAATTGGATAAACCCAGCCTGGTCATGTCCAGTGAAGCCAACCAACTGTATACATGTAGGAAAATGCAAAACTTTGCCTTTGATGACATTCATCACAAAAAAATCTGCACTGTTCACTTACTGTTGTGTCTTCGAGTTTATTAGTTTTAATCAACAATTTATAATGAAAGGGTGTGTGGAAAAAAATTCGTAACTTTTTTTAGATTTTTACAAAAATGGAGGCCGGTATTTTTAGGTTTTCATGCCTGTGATTTGACAGTCTGCAATTTTTATTAACATTTATTAAATAGACACGAGTGTTTTCCTGGAAAATATACCACTCGTAAAATTCATAAAAACTACATCCGGGACCCGAGTGGTTTATTTTCCATAATCTCACACGTGAGTTTATCGATGACATAATGTCGGTAATTTCCCTCTATTATTTTATCAATGTCTTTTTGTCTATATAATAAAAAGAACATTACACGGCGGCTTGAAGATATGAATTTTATTTTCTCGTGGCAAAAACAATATTTTACGAACGAGCACATTATCTTCGCGCCACCGTGTAATATCCTCTATATAACACTAAAGAATCTATGCAATTTGTTTTGGGACACGAATTTTCAATATCGAGATTAACATAATCAAGAAGCCAAATAAGAAGGTCTAAATTCCTTGTTGAGCAAGACAACAAGAAAATGGCAGGGTGATTTTATTGAATAGCTCGATGTTAGTTTATACAAGTGCCAAACTTTCCAATTACTTTTTAGGGGCAGTGTCATCAAGGTTTTGTGCTACGTACTTCAAAATCCAACAAATGCATTAATTTGTATCATTAAGAAAATCCACCGATTCACTATTTTCACATAGACCATAATGCACCTTGTTTGCCCCCAAAATTTTGCATAAACATTCTTTTCAATATTCAATACTTCTCTTGAGATATATGACTGTAATATCCAGGAGAAACTGAAAACAAAATGCAAAATTTTCGGGGTAAACAAGGTGCATAAATTATGGTCTATGTGAAAATGGTGAATATAGTAACCTTAGGCCCCGTCCACGCGAAGACGATTGTAAACGCAAACGCTAGTAAACGCATATATTTATCTCCGTTCACACGAAAACGATCGTTTACGTAGCGTTTTAACCCGTCCACACGAAAACGCTCGTAAACGCATAAAACGATGTCATACACCGAATGCTCGAAGTCTGCTGGCAAGAAACCGAAAGAAAAAAGTGATAAAACTAAGGCAGACAACTTTGTTTGGACTGACGATGAAGTAAAGCTGCTTTGAGAAGTTACAAATGACTACAAGGTGTCGAAAGCGGCGAAAAATATCGACTGGGAGTCGTGCCAGTCAAAGTACACTGACATTCTTGAATTATAGTTTTCCTGTATATCGATTATTGCATGATTCAATTGAATGCTCGCAATTATGCTTGAAATTAGCGCAAGCATGACACAGCTCAACACTCGTGTGTACGCCATCTTGGAAACGCACTCGATAAAAGAAACTGGCGCTGACATCTGACGTCAGCGTTTTCACAGCGTTTACGAAAATATACGTTTACGGCCGTCCACACGAAGATGCATAAACGGCGTTTTCAAATTTATCCACTTTGGAGAGCGTTTTCGAATTTATGCGTTTACGGTGAGCGTTTTCATCGTCTTCGTGTGGACGGAAGGCCTAAACGCATAAAAAAGTTTGCGTTTACTAGCGTTTGCGTTTACAATCGTCTTCGTGTGGACGGGGCCTTAATGGCCTCTCTAGGCATCATTAAAAAGAGAGTTTATGCCATAAGAAAACTTAAGTGCATGGACAAATCCTTAAAAAAGTTGGGCCGATCCGTTTTCAAGTTTGCTGGAGTTACATCAATAATTGGAAAATGTTTTCAAAACCATTAAAAAGATATTGTTATTATTATAGTTCACTTGCGCTTTTCAGAATGATTCGATGTCTTTCTCATCATTCAAATGTCATTTTGTGTAACTCTATATAGGGTTCTAAACGGGCCTTATAGCAAAGCATGTGATTTCTCTGCCGGACTATATGTGTATTTTGCACAAAACAGTCAGAGTTGGTTATTAAAACAGAACCTTACTGATAGAATGAGGTTTAAAAAAATGTCTGGGCCCCCAAAATAGATATTAAATGATCTTTTCAGCCTAGTCTGGAAGGCTTTTTGATGCTCTTAACAACAAACAATGTTTTCTAGATATGGCCGGTAAGGATGGTAAAATAATTGAAAAATGACTTAGAATGCGCAAGTTCTGTTAAACATCACCTAAACTTTGTTTTAATAACCAGCCTTTAGTTTCAATTTCTAGATTCACAATTACCTAAAAATTTTAGAGTCTACATTGTGCCCAAAGCAAAGTGGCCTTTAAGGGAACAGGTCGTAAGTTGGTTTTTGTGTCCAGATTATGCAAACTTTGGACCACAAATTATGAGTTAAAGTTGCCTTTGTGTGTTTAACAGAAAGCTACATGTACATAAATGGAGTTAATATTTCTTATCTCTTAATTAGTGTTAGCCCTTTGTGGGTTTATAAATGGAAAGCTTTGTAAATATGCCACGTTATTAATACTGCTCAAGCGTAAGTAGGTCAAGATGGCTGGAATTGTTAGGGGTTTCAATGTTTTAATGAAACAATACAAAGTTTGTGATCAACAAGTTCTTTAACCTACGTAGACTAGCTGGCGGTTTCATTTGGGGTGTCTAAGAGACATCTCTCACTTTACAAACTACAAACGAAAACAACACCCTGCACACAGCAAACAAACCGCCAACCGCGGTGCGGGCTACAAGTTCTTGGAAACTCAGTGTTTTGTTGCAAGTTTTCCTTGGTTGAAAGTTTTTTTCTTTCTTAAAATAAAATGAACCAAGGATGAAAATGAATTTCTACATAGGCATACCGATAATTTAAGACAGAATCCACCAGGAAATTGAGTAATTTTAATTTTCAGTGGACAAAAGCAAAAAAACAGAATAATTTAAAGAATTTTGCATTCTTTGTTTTACATTTTTCAAGGGCTGAAGATGTAATAAATCATCTGTAGTAACACCAAAGAAAATTTCTCATGAAGTCTAAGAATTATGAATATCAAATTTTACGAGAATTGTGATTACACATTTAAAATTCTGAAAAATTTGACATTCATTTTCTTGGGCTCCCATTTTTTTTGTTGTCACTACAGATGATTTATTACATCTTTAGCCCTTGAAAAATGTAAGAAAGAATGCAACATGCTTTAAATTATTAAGGTACAAGATTTTTGTCCTCTGAAAATCAAAATTCCTCAATATCCTGGTGGATTCAAAATTTTTTTTCAACATTTACATTGTATCTTTATCATGACTGAACTGTAGCATTGTAATAGCATTGGTATTTTGTTAATTCCTATGTTTTATTTGCAAAATACAATTAAATGTGTTACTGGTTTACTTTTTTATAAAATACATAGTTATTTGTTTTGAACTGAACACAGGGGGAGGGGTGAGGCAGTGGTCAGAGCACTCGACTCCCATCAATTTGGCCTGAGTTCAGGTCTTGCTATGTACGCCATATATGGGTTAGGGACCGGTCATTATTTATCGCCTGGGTGCGGGGTCGAAGGATTTTAGAGGGGATTACTTGTTTTTTGGGAGAACAAAAGGGGGGATCAGTTGTAACTGAGAATCCAAAAGCGGGGATCGCTGAAAACCTCGGAAGGATTCAGAGTGGGGACCCTCAAATTTGCTTGGAAAATGAAGACGTGGTGGGGGAGATCGTGAAAGTCATCAAAAGTTATTAGGGGGGATCACTTCAGTGAAGTAACACTCAAAGGGGGTATCGGCTAAAAAAATAATAAAGCATTGTTATGGAACTCTGGCGTCGAGTTTTCCCTGGAAGCAAAGAAGCTAAGCGACGTATAAAATCTGTCATTTAAAATTATTTTAAATGACAGATTTTTCAGGAGTTAACAGAAAAGCAAGAAATCCCGCAGGAAATCCCAAGCGCGCTAGATTACTGTGAAACTCAGAACACCGTGAACACAAGAAAAATTTCGGGAAAGTTGACTGTGGAGCGGCAAAAAAAAATGCAATTTATTTGAGTGTCAATGTATTTAGCAGGAGAGTACTATTTGGGGACACTATTTTTACACGGGACCGCCATTTTACGTGGTCATCCGAGGCATGCGAAGGTCTAGCCGCTTACAGGTTGAAAAAATACCTTCATATCTCAGTTATTTTAAGACCTTGAGTATTGTTGGTTTTCACATGACGTCACTAAAATTCAAACTACTGAGCTAACCCTGCGCGGCCAATCACAAGAAAGTTTGGGATACGAAAGGGATCCTCAAAACCACAAACTAATTACCATTGGTGTTTGTGTTTTAGTTATCTCGCGCCTTATTGGGTAATTTCTCGCAACACAATAACATGCCATAAATATTTCTGGTGTTGAAATTGGAAAGGTCTTCCCTATAATGGCAAAGTGAGCACGATAGGGACATACCGCTTTCACGAACTTAAACTTCAAGCCGTTTCTGGACACGCCAATAAGACGAGGCATTATCAGCTCTGGGACGAGGTCACTTTTAACAGTAACCGAGACCCTCGCTGGTACTCTCGGAGGGTTAAAGAAACACTTAACAGCATCAATAGGGACAGTGGAATTGAGAATCCTCGGCTGATACGAGGATGCCTACAGTCAGACACCGATCAGTACAACAGGACAGCGGACCGCTGAAGGAACAGTCATCTCCTCTAATGCCAACAATGCTTTAGATCGAGCCCTACCAACCATGTCCTGGGTGAGGTTCGTAATACACCAATCACTAAGAACTACGGTGGTTTACTAATAGTTCCGCTCAGAAAATCGTAATTCGACTATCGTGAAACAAACGATAAAAGAAACCCTTAAATAATATTGATCTTCATATATTTCACAATTTTCATCACTTGAAAAGGGTTATATTATATCTGCAGTAGTTAAAGGTGAGAAGGGTGAACGAATTTTTACTGTGAAACTCACAAAACCGTGAACACAAGAAATATTTAAGGAATGTTATTGTGTTGCCAGAAATTAGCCAATAAGGCACGAGATAACTAAAACGCAGACAGTAATGGTAATTAGTTTGTAGTTTTGAGGGTATTTTTGCTTGCTTTGCTTGCTTTATTGTGATTGGCCAGTACAAAATCAACAATCCTGTGTGCCAATAACACACAATCATGTACTACGGCGGCAACACCAAGTAATTTGCATCAAAACCTTTATTAGGTAGTTTTCCAGGAAGATCATTTTGACAAGCAAATTTACTTGTATCGAAACGACCGGCCACCGTCATAGCATAAGATCTTGTAATCTTGTCCGTGTGTGGTAAAACGGAACCCGAGGCTCAGCCACGGAGGTAGGTAGGTAGGTAGATAGGTAGATAGATAGGTAGATATAGGTAGTTAGTAAAATCCAACTAGTGGTCTATTATCGATGTTGAATTCTGATTGGTTGAGCTAATACTAGGCTATATGTTATAGCCCACTAGTAGCGAAAAGCGCTGGCTTTTTGGCGGCAAAAAAGGATTAAAGTCTAGCTTTAACTAGCTAAAGTTGTTTTGTCTCGATATTTTTGACCAACTAGTTGGATTTTACTAAAACAATTACTCCTCTCGCCCTCATGGCCTCTGAGTCAATGGGCTATTGACTCAGAGCCCATTTCGCTCGAGGAATAATTGTTAAATACAATTCATTACAATTCAAATAAGAAAACAGTATAAACTATCTACATTATAATAAAAATATTAAAGAAAAAGCTGCTTTCCATGAATGCCGTGCCCTTGAGTACTTGTTTAAGAAGACATTTGAATTTCGTAAGGGACTCTGCTTGTCTCACATTACACTGGAGTTTGTTCCATAGGATGGCGCCACTATAGCTAAAGCTATTGTTGTAATAATTTGTCTGTGGTAAAGGATGCAAAGTTTATTCTCAGAGTCTCTAAGGTTATACGCCGTTTCTCGTATTGCAAACCTAGAACTTAAATATTCTGGAGCCAACCGGTGTAAAGACTTAGAAACCATCGTGGCTTTTTCAATTTCATGCTGGCGTGCTAGATTTTTCCATCCTGGGAGTTCAAACAGGTAACCAGCGTCTTCATCGTAGTCTGAAATGTCAAAAAACGGGCTGCTCTAATTTGTAGTTTTTGAAGTTTGTTCCTTAAGGTTATCCCACAGTTTCTGGCCAAAACAGTATTGAAATAATTGAAGTGACGGTGAATAAGAGCTTGGTAAATTAGTTGTAAGGTCGCTTGGGGGACAAGGTGCCTTACTCGCTTTATGGCCCCGATGCCAGAAGATACTTTCTTTATTATCTTCTCCATATGGCTACCCCAATCGAGATTATTATTGATGGTCATTCAAAGAGATTTAGCAGTAGCGACTTGGGTAACTCGAAAATCATTGCAAGTGTTGGAGAAACTGTTACAATACTTAGCCTCTGCCCAGATCCAATTGACATGAACTCGGTTTCCATGAACTCGCAAAGTGCGCTTGATGAGACGAAACTTGCTCAAAATACATTCTAGTAAGGCTTTTCTACTGAGAACTTCGACTGAGAATTTATCTCAGAGTTAAGATTTCAATCCATCTATGAATTTTATCGTCTTTGCCGCAGTTGAGCCTTCATTTCTTGAATGCGGTTCACCAACGGACGATTTGAAGTTGCACATTTTCCAAGGACTAGATCCAGGCCCCCCTCGCTTTTCTGAGCAAAAACTGTTTCCACCGCATCTTCGTATTTCCTGGGACAAAAGTTAAAGTGTCGTTTATAAGTAGGTGGAATATGATTAGCTCGTTTCTCGAAAGTCCCGGTAACTTTTCGGGCCCGAAATCAAATATTTAAATCAAAATCACAGGAATAAAAACACGAGTCCTAGCCAACAAACCAGTCAATTTTGTTTTTACTGATAGAAAGCTACACGTCACATCAGTATGGAATATCTGCAAACATTCTTCAGACCTCATTTCGCGAGGAAACCAGTGGTGATGTCACAAAATGTCAGCTATTTTCTCAGGGTAGCATCAATTAGCAGTGCAGAACTCGAGTTATTGTTCCCAATCACTTACGAATTTGTATACGCCCAGGGTTTTGTGGTCAGTGGATTCAGTGCCCCCTTCTTAGTTCTGAGGTGAACGAATGAACGGCATAGTCGCAACACAAGTGACCACTACTCAAGGTAAGTTTGTTTAGTCAGTCTTTGAGTAGAGTAAGAACTTCAATGAACTGATAAACTCACCCGAGTTTCACATAACACGTCACTTTATTTTCGGGAAGAACCCTGGAGAGATATTTCTCCGCTTCTATCCAGGCATGCTTCAAAAAGTGGCTGTAAAAAAGCAATGTAAATAAAATTTACAGCGTCTTCACACTGGAATGTTATTCACAATGTTACAGTCATGGGAACCTATGAACGTAGCCTTTAATAAAGAAGAAATAAATGCTTTTGATAAATACCGACGAACCTTCCAATCGCCATCTGTCCAAGACGACCATGATTTTTATTCCGCCAGATGATCCATACATTCACTCTAGAAACATTTAATATCTTACGGAGTGGGGTTAGGGTTTCTTATTTCTTGTCCTATCGTAGATGTGTGGGAAAGGCAAAAAAATTTACAAAAAAGAGTGATGGACGTGTAGAGCTGTTGTTCCGCTCCTTCATTAACCTATTGTGTTTTACGACTTTCTGTTACCTTCGCCATGGTAGTTTTGTAAGGTCCCAAATTACCTGCGTAAGTGAGTCCGGATTTTAAGGTTTAAAGGATTAGCTTTGCCCGTATCTGTCCCTAGTTGAGCACATTGCTTGATTATTTCGGAAAACACTGTCAATGAACTTACCTCGTATCCAATTAGAGATTTACGAGCTTTGGAAAACTTGTAGAGTTCCAGCCAGTTGTGACTTTAATGTCAAGGATCTTACTTTCAGCCAGTAAAACCTAAAGACAAGACAATGCGGCAAATGAGCTAAACTATGAGGAAGGAGTTTGAAGGGGTAGGAAAAGGAGGAATAACTGAGGTGCGCGTGAACGCGATGTCCGCGCGAGGAGGAAGGGAAGGAAACCCTGTCTGCTATTTTTCCTCGCGCGTCCTGATTCCCTCCCCCTCCTTTCACTACTCCTTCAAATGCCTGCCACACAGGCTACAAATCAGGGGTTTTAACTAACAAACATAAGCTGTACGTAGTACAACTAGAGGCTATTTCGAAAACGGGCCGTGTGAAAACAAGAACGCGATGAATGCGCGAGGAGGAAAGGACGGAAACCCTTTCTTCTCTCCCTCCTCGCGCGCCCTTATCCCCACCCCCTCTTTCACTCGACTTCCAATGCTTGCCACATAGACTACAAATCAGGGTGTGACCAAACAAGCCTTAGCTCTACATAGTACAGGCTATTTTGAAAACAGCCCGTGTGAGAACGAGAACGCGATGGGCTCGCGAGGATGAAAGTAGAGAAGACCATTTGGGCCAGTTGTTTAAACGGAGTTTAACCCGTGTTTAACCAAACCGCGTTCTTGGCCATTTTCAATTTGCTCAACGTTTTTATCTAAACACCATTTTTCGTGAAAAATCTCAAGAAAGTATATAGTGTAGACTGGAAAGGCACTTATTTTCTTCAATTAACCCCTTAAGAAAAGGATCTGGAAGTCCAATGTTTTCCTAAACCGCGGCCTAAGTTAGACCTCGTTTAAATTTCCTCCTCCCTAACGCGCCCTAATTCCCACATTTCCCTTCCCCTTCAAATGTATTCTACACAGGCTACAAATCTGTGGTGTGAACAAGTAAGCCTTTGTTCAACGTGGTGAAGCTAAAGGCTGTTTCAAAAAAGGGCCCTCAGATGTCAAAGGTCTCGTTGTTTACGGTCTCTGATAAAAAAATGTTACAAACCTTTTATCTGGAACCTTGAACTCCTTTTTCAGTTGCTCAGCGGCTTTCAGGTCTCCTTGAAGTATGCGCTGAAAAGTGTAAAGTAATCGTTAGAAACTAACCCCAGTACAGTATGATAGTGTATGGGAATTAAATCTGTGACAATCAAGAAACTAAAGCTATTTTTAATAGTACTTTCCACCGCGGTTTACTTTGCTTTGGTTTTAACTACCAAGTCTAGATAATAGTTTAAAAATTACAATCCCAACAAAAGCTACTGAGCAGAGATCTGAGAGATTCCAGCGTATACTGTTGATTTCAACTTCTAACATTTGACAATCTTTAGTATGGCCATTCGAATGAAAGCTTGTACTTGACAAAGATTTCCAGCGGCACTGTTTATTAAGCTGTTAAAGGTGGTATTAACATTTGATTATATTGATGACATCTTAATTTTGATCATTCAAATAAGAGCTACTTTTCAGAGTTAAGTTACAATTTTGCCCTAAGTAAGGAAAAAGTGTTACTGTTGACTTAACGGGGGGAAGTGGTCAGTTACCCACAAACGTCAACTGATCCAGCTGCCCAACTGTACTGATCATGACATCTTAAAAATAAGCTCAGATCGTGAACGTTTGAAAATCCACGCTAAAGGCTAACACAGTTTAGTGTCTTTATCGCACCTGGTAGATAGTATCACTCAAAGACAGGTCCATAAATGCCTTTCTGTACTTCTCTTCTAGTTTGACTTGATATTCCATGAGTTGCATTTGTTGTTCTGTTACCTGAAAAATTAAATCGCGCGTGCATACAATGCATCACTGACAAGAAATGTTTTATTAATATTTATATTATAGTTCAGAGCAGTATTACGCGCACTCTGATTGGTTTAAAAAGTGAGTTTATCAGAGTACAAAACACGTAGCTGAAGTCTTCAAGCCATCTGCTCATAGTTTGTTTTGAAAATTAGGAAGTAATGTGTGGCGAATTTAAGGGATTCTTTATCATAAAAGTAATAGAGAAACATCTTTACTGTGCTTTGTTATGTTACAAAGCACTTAAGAAGTAGGGATAAACACTCTCGACTAAGGCTCATGCTTCCCCCTACACTTGGTCTTTCGTACCCCAGCCCGGCGCTTCCTCCTGCGTGATTTATATCAGTTCAGAGCACAGTCAAGGTATTTGTTAATCAAACACAGCTAGAGGAGTGGAGAGTTTCTGGGTGCTTTTGGTTCGAATATCGCAAGTTTATCCCGTATCCTAGATTACTAGACAAGACATAACGTCCGTCTTCTGTTTCTCCACACAGTAAGGAATGGGTGGCTCTAGCGTGAAGGAGTTTGAAGTATTCTAAATCAAAGCAACAAAATGAAGAGCACACACCTTTGAGTAGAACTGAAATCCTCCTTGCTGGTAAGACATCTGTGCTTTGGACAATGTTTTTATCTTGGATTCTATCGTCTAAATAATAAAAATAGAAGAAAGGCAGGTTTTATACCAAGTGTACTGACAAGCGATAACAACTATTCTATGTCGACACTTTATAGATAACGAATTGCCTTATTTCTCAAGGAATAAAAAGGTGAGCGCCAGTCTCCTTCCCAAGGATGTGATCCTTTTAATTTAGCACTAAAAGTGATCGTTTCGCCCGACAAGGGTAGCAAAAGCTCTAAGGACCAGATTGGGACAGAGGCCGGAAGGCGTCACGCAACTCAACAATTAACCCTTTGCGTGACGACCTTCCTTGCAAGTTGCGATTTTCTGGCGCGCGCGCTTAGTTCACTCTGCGATCCCTGTGAAAAATATCAGATAACTTGTAGTCTTAAGTTTCCTATACTTGTGGTTTCTTTGGTCACGTGGTCGCCGAATTGAGGGCGGCAAATATTAGCGCATGTGTAGCAGATAACACTGGTTATGATTAAAACGAATTTTGGTAAAGGTTTCGTTAAACTCAAGAAATGTACGAGTTAAATTACAAATAAGAGTTGCTACACGTGTCACGTATTCTCCGCTCTTCTTGACGTTCAAAATAAACAAGACTGCTGCCGACCTTAAAAAGAGTAAATTCGTTTCCAGGGGTTTATTCCATTTTCGAAACGGAAAACCTCCTGGGAATGAGGTAAAAGCAGAGCTTTGTAGTCTGCTACAGTCACAACAAAAATAATGTATGACGCCATGAAGAAACGGAGTGAAGCGTGCGCATATTTGCTCAGGATTGAAATTACATATTAAGCCAATGAAGAAATAAAATAATAAAACAAATTGCGACCAGATCCCCTCCTAAGCATGAAGAGAGAGAGAGAGAGAGAGTCGTGGATGAGAGGACAACAGACGTGCCCTCTTACAATACATTTTAACACGTGAACAGTAAGCTCGGACGTCAGCATACAAAGGCGCCACTGGCAGCCATTCTCAGTCCATTTGTGAGCTTACTGAACCCACCCAACCCATGATGTGAATGATGTGAAGAGTGAAGGTTGACCACAACACCGGGGTCTACGTCCCCTACTCTTTTTGAACAGTGGTGTGGGTTCTTTTACGTCCCACAAGAACCACATAAGTGTAAGCGCTGTGAGACGGGACCTACGGTTTTGTGTCCTTATCCGAGAAGACTGGCAGATAGCATGATAACATGATAGCATTCACGTTACTAGCTTATAATACCTTCTCACTATAGCTGTCCTGCACAAAGGCGTTACCACTGGTCATAAACTGGTTATCCTGGTAGAACAGGTCCACAAGTGTACGGCGATCCTGATCCTTGCAGTACTACAGACAAATCACAGTCATGCCAAAGTGAATATATAGACAATAGCCTGCGTGGCAGTTTGCGTGGCAGGTGCAAAAACGAGAGAAGAGGGGGAGGGGAGTGAAGGGAAAAGGAGCAGAAATGAAAAAAAGTTGTCCTCTTTTTCTCTTCCCTTCACCCCTCCCTTTTTCACTTTTTCCGATACCTCTTAAGACGGCTGCTACACAGTCTAATGATTTACAATAACCGAGTGATTTCCGCGTCCCGATTGGTCTAGAACTTTTGCTTTTGCTTATGACAGTACACAGTATAGAAACAAAAGGTTCTGCTCTTCTCTGCCTCTTGAGTACGATTCTCCAAGACATTGTAAAAAAACAAATAGACAAGTAGCCATTTTTCGCTGCCGAGACTCCGACATTTCAAAGAAATGACATTAAATATGCTCCAAACTTTGCCGTAAAACCACTCACCGTTCCACTTACGTTTTAAACACTTTGACGTCATTTTTACGACCTAAAAGAATGAACAGATAAAGGAAAAAATGTCTCCTGGGAAAAAAGAAAAAATTGTGAAAGGTTTGAACCCAGGAGTCATTTCAAAAGTAGGTTGAGTTTGATCGTCCGGGTGAACGTAGTCCTGAATAGGACTGTTGTTGTTGACAGTGACTGTGCGGTAGTCATCTTCAGAGTCAGTTTTAGCGTTTTACCTTTTTTAAAAAGACAACAAACAGCGTGACAAAAACAAAACTCACCTGTCGATAAGGGTTTTCATTGTTAGTTTCTCCAGTCTAAGACGATCGTCAAGGCATCAAAATTGGATAATTTTTGAAAAATAATCAAAGAGTACTCTCAGAGGACAAAAAAGCAAAATGGAGCCCACTTTAAGAACTTGATAAGAGCCACAAAATTGAAAACTATTTTCATTGATATGTTTGCTCCGAAATGGGCACGCGGGCCCCATAATTTAGCACGTTTTCCCTCCTGGGACCCTTGTATTACCCCTGGGTATTGAGCGTGGTATTTAAATGCTTTGTCAACATCAGGATCACTGATCAGATGGCTTTTCTATGCGTTCATGCCCCGAGAGGGCATATATACTTGCGTTTTTTGCCCCCCCTCCTCCCCTCAGCGACGAAAACCCGGTTATGCTGCACTTCTTCGCATACGTGGAAATTATTTTCGCCCATATCTTAGTATTCCCCGCGTGTGCCATAGAGGTGCAGCATATCGATGAAAATTCTGCTACTGTGTTAACGTACTTTTAACATATCCGTTTCAAGAAAGAGAAAAAGGAACACATCTCGTTCGTTCCCTGTAAAAAAAAGTGTAATTTAAACCCCACAGCTTTGCTCCGTTACATAAATCGCACCGAAATCACCGTTCTCTTGTGTGGACAGAAACACTCTCCGGTATGGTTTCCGTGCCGACGCAAGAGCTATCTGGCATAGTGTTAGCCTGCGTAGAAAAGGTTTCCGCGCAAGTTCGTCGAAAAAGTTGGGATCAGAGCAATGATAACTAAGTTGAAGATGATGTGAACTGCGGAAAGGCAAGTTTAAATGAAGATATGATCGTCGCAGCGGAAATTGCAATTTAAGCAATTGCAAATTAACCCGAACAATAAAAAAAATTTTTCGTCTTGCTACGGAGGCTAGCATAGTGTAGACTTGCTGCAACACACGCTGCAATTGGGCAAAATGTAACCTGTGAGACGACGCTTTTGCAACAACTGAAAATTTGGTTCACTCTTGAATTAAGATAAAGGATACTCTCCATATGTAAATGTAAGTGGAATTCCAACCATGTAGTCCCGCAGGGCGTTTAACACTCTAAGATTCCGGCACATCGAAACAAACGCGTGTGGCGGCATATCAGTTAGAAAACTCTCACCAAAGGAAGCAGCCTAGCAAAGAGAAGAAAAGATTACAGCGGAGATCAGTAAAAAAAACGGTTATACTATAGGTGGAATTTTCCCCAACATCGACCGCCGGAGCGCTCTTATTGGTTACTACAAGGACACATGACATGTTACACGAGAACTACTTCGCGCCTAAAATCTCTGACCAAGCGACGTTGCAAACTTCGCTGGTAGATGGTAACAGAGCAGTGTTATTGGCGAATGTTGACCACTCGCTGAGATTTGCTATACTTTCAATTCATCCTGTATAACTGAAAAATCACTGACTGACGCGTTCGTCGAAAGCATTAATGAAGTCCTTTATGTCTCTTACTACACTCCTCAAATAGAAACATAATGGACGAACTATTTGCGCTCTTTCGCTTTCAGTTCAAATTACCCAGATATACTGAGTACAGATTTTCTTTTCACGACATCACGTTCAACGATTTATGCCCAAGCGAATTTGAAGGAACTTCAGCAGATTAACTAAAACTTTTTCAGTAGGAGGTGATGATTTTGAAACGGAAGACAAATAATGTATTTTTTCAAACAATGCTAAATTTATCTGGCAGTTTACGGAGCACAAATCACAGTGTAAGAAACCTTAAACTTTTCAACAACTCCCCCACCCCCTGGGGGCGGGTTCCTGTGAGAATCAAAACGTAGCAACTGAACATAAGGATCATGTGGTTACTATGACTACCTCTGAAATTATACTCACCCTCAGAAGTCCTCTTTGTATTGCAGGCTCATGTTCCGCGGCAGCGGCGTGGATACATTGCTGGACAGCCTCAGGAAGACGTTCTTTGATCATCCGAATGTACTCCTCTGCTCGGGCGCTCTTTTTCTGTTTACAGGAATATACATGAAAGAATCGTAACGACAGCTTAATTTTAGGGATTTAGTTTTTGGTGTAGTTTAGAATCTTTAAGTTGAAACTTTAATGTTGTTCGTCAGGTGTTCTTTTTATTTTCATTATTGTTCTTTCTTATGAATTCTGTAAAGCGCTATTGAGCTTTTGGACTGAAATAGCGCTATATAAATAAAGTTGATTATTTTTTATTATATGGAGAAAAGTTGGCTCAGCTAGGATGGTGACCTTACCAAGGAAAACAGGTCACCCAACAACAGGCTCGCCCAGGGTGGCTCGAAGTGGCGGTCTAACAATAAAGGGGGAGGGGGCGAGCCCCCTTCGCTCCTTCTCTAGATCCGCTACTGGCTTGGGTAGGCGGCTGAGCCTTTTACCCGAGACAACTTTTTCCCAGAGAGAGTGAAGCACTGCTTGCCTCAAATTCCTTTAATGCATCAAACAGCATCGCACCTGGTTCCATTGAACCGATTTTAAACACTTGTTCCACAGCAGCTGAAAGATTAATAGAAATAGTTGCTCTAGTATCGGACATAATTATTCACATTCGTGATAAGAAGTGGTTCTGGTTGAACGGTAACCGGTCAAGTCACTAGAAAGTCATCTCGCCCGAAGTCATAGCGCCTGAAACCAGAGTAATGTCGCCCGAAATCCTAAGTCATGTCGCCTAAAATTCTATCGAGTGTATAAACTTGAACAAAAGTATCATCTGAAGTATGTCGCAAGGAATTTAGTCGAAAAATGTTGACTCAACTGTGTCCGGTAACCTATGCAAATGTGAAGTTAAACAAAGACGCAAATATCGCTGTTTATTTCGAGAGACATGACTCTGGTTTGGGGCGACTTGACCGTAAACCGATTGAATACGTCGACTGGAATAAAGTTTAGGGCTTTTTGCTTGTTCGCGACAACAGGGTACTCATTTTCTTTGGAGGGGGGAATACTGAATGTAGAGTCAGTCCAATCTGTTTCCGGGGAGTAAGTTAAAAAATCTTACATAAGCCACAGCAAGACCACACTGAGCTGAAGGTTTAAGTCAACAGTCTCGAGAGTTTATTTCGCTTTAAGCACCTACAGGCAATGACACGTTTTAATAGAAGGTAATTTGGAAAAGCATCAAATGTCTGTGGAGAAGAAATAAATCTCAAGGACATCCCGGCCACCAACAGGGATTGTTACTTTTGGCTATATTTCGATAGCTTTATGAATCGAGAACAAGAGAGAATATCTGCGAGCATTTTGAAACCTTTCACTTGTAGTCTGCGAATAGGGACCGCGGAGCGGATTTTCAAGTGGGGGGGGGGTTAATGCGAACGCGTTAGCGTGATCCAACTAGGGGGGTCCGGGGGCATGTTCCCCCGGGAAAATTTGAAATTGAAGTCTTCTGAAATGGCTTGAAATGGATCTAAAACTGCCAAAAGTGAAGTTAATTTTTAATTCTTATAAAACAACGAGTAACAAACTGTCCTTCACGTCTGACCAAATTTAAATGAATAGACTAACTTTTAAGCTAAACCCAACAGACGCAACGGATGAGTGTCACCCGGACATTTTTAAGTCGGATTCTTTGAAGGTGCCAAAGTTGCTTTTTCGATTTTCATTGAGAGCTGCAAACTCATTGGCAACATCTATAAGACAAAGTTTGTCTGTTCTCTGCTTGTGGGTATTAAGTATTGTCAGATTGCTAAATCTTGTTTGTGTCATCGTCGAGCGTAGCCACGTTTTCAGTCTCCGAGCAGAAGAAAAGGATCTCTCGCCTGCTGCACTGGTTGCTGGATTTACAAGCAGAAGTTTACGTAGGGTTATGATTTCAGTTATCATGCACTTTTCGGCTTCAGAAAGCTGCTTGATCTTGGCTAAAATGTCATCAAAACAGGTAAATTCTCCGTCCTTCATCAACAGCTTAAAAATTTCCAGTTGAACATTCAATGTTCTAACATCAACAGCCAAAAAAGTGGGGGGCCTAAAGCCCCCCCTGCGACGATACAGCCGTTTCACCTTGCTCCTCGTTGCTAAGGTTTCGCCAGGAGGAGAAACCGCCCGCAATCAACGTAATCATATTTACCAACCTGGAACTCGCTGAAGCAGTTCATGAGTCTCATTACCAATGATTCTTACGCCATCTAACTCTTGAACTAAATGTACAACACTGTCCATCTGATATGTGAAATATGTTAAGAAAGTGTGCTATCCGTAGCATATGCATATTTATTAAAACTGAACCATTGGGTAATGCAGTTAAAGAACTCTGATTGGCTTAGCCATCATAGTATATGAGCCACATACCAAAATTTGAAAATCGGTTGTTCTTACAAATAAAGTCGGGAAGAATTCTCGATATTTTGTGGGCGTTTTTAATAAACAATTATTCCACTCATATCCAACGCGCACTCGTGCAATAATTGTTAAATATATGGCAATAGCGTGCTCAATAAAAAAAACTACTCATATCTACACTAGTAACAATTGTCAGTTCAAATCAAGGGTGTTTTTAGTAACACGATCAATATATAATTGCAGCATGACAACAGAATTACCAACTTGGCCAAGCCAACATTTGCAACAACAAGAAGAACAATGTTTAATTTTAGTATGCTCTAGCAGTAAGATAGCTTGCCCCGCAAATAGTTGGAAAGCTAGTCGGATATGAAGAATGATCTTGTTGATCAAAGGATATCTAATAGTGTCCATTGTCGGTCCAACGACATCCAAATAATCATCCCTGTAACATATGACGGCGTCCATTGCACACCTGTAAGGTAAGTTGAAATAAGTAAAGTTCGGAACACCCAAGGAGACAAGTTGCAGCAACACGTGTCGGCGACAGATTACTCCCTGTGTACAGGTCAGGAGATTAGTTGCAGCAACACGTTGCGGCGACACATCGTTAGATGGGTGGCGGAAGAAAGAAAAACACCGATGGGTCTTAGTTTGAATTCAAAATAATGGCCCGGCCAACCGGGCGAGAATTTGTCATAAAAGACGAGAGCCTTCATTCTAGAAACAACAATTGCTCCCTCCTTACCAGGTTAGTTGCTTGGGTCTTGATGGACAAGAAGTGTTGAACTCACAGTAGACTTTCTAAAGAAGACAGAAATACAACAATAACTGCAAAATTCAAAGAACTGCGAAATACAGGCGTACTTAATAAGTTGAGCTCTTAGGGGCCTGGCCTAGCGGTCCGGGTTGCTAAGCTTACTCGTTTTGCGGAGATGTCAGCAAGTTAAATGAACACAATTAAAATCAACTTTGCGATGACATGAAATTGTTTCTGCAAGATTTCCGAGGAAGAAGTGGCTAGACTAAATTAATGATGATATCCCACCATGTAGAACTAAGGCAGATACGGGTCTTCATTTGTTACAAGAAAAGATACCTCAAATTCGAGTAGTATATACAAAAGCCTTTTTACTCGCCTTCTTCAAACCTGGGTATAGAATCAAAGCTAGTACTGCCAGTTGAATTAGACCGCCACTCATTCTCATTTTGTAAGAATCCGAGTCAACTCGACGCTAGCTACTGGAACTCGTCCTCTGATAGCTAAATTTGCGGGCTGAACAAATGTGACAGTGTTATACCCACCTGTAAATCTGCTGATCCTATCCATAACAAACCAGTGTCTGTAAACATTGCTAGGTATTCATAATTGTAAGATATGGCCATTTCTATGATGGAAGTGACCGGGACCCCAGCGCTGAATGAAACAGTCTGAAAATTGAATAATATCAAAACTATTCAACAACAACAGTAGCCGGCGAGCATACTCACTAGTGTGACTTCGGGGAAAAATTTGTCAACATTATAAACAATAGAGACCTCGCTATTTCATATTTAAAGTTGTGACAGTGATAAAGCCAGAGATGTAATATTCTCATTGCGACATCTCAACACACTTCTCTATTTTTTCCCCTCCATTCCTTCCTTCACCCCGCACCCACTGCTTTGCTACGCCCTGTGGCTGATTCAGGATTGGTAAAAAGTAGCAACCTTTCATACACTTGGCACTCAAGAGGAAGTTTACGATGTCCAGACAGCGACAGCAAAGAGAAAGTCAAAAAGGCAACAGGGCGAATTTTCGACCGGCTGAACTTGAATTCGAACGTTCACTCGAAACAGCCTTAAAGGTGATATTACACGAGACGACTCGCAACAACCATTTTTAGTGCAAGCCGTAACACGGCGTTGCAACATTGTTGCGATATTGTTTCGAATGGTTGCAACATTGTTCCAACATTGCAACCCTAGATATAGGCATATTTTTATCCCCTAAAAACTTTTCATCTATTCGGATTTACTAGCTGAAAGTCTAGTGATCCGAAAATTATAGGGATAAAAACTTACCTTCTCGAAAGCTTCAGCCAAGAAAAGGCTCCCGAAAATTCTAGGTGGCCTTTCTTATGGTCAAAATCCGTTAAAAATGGTTAATTATACCATTTTGTAGATGTTCGAAAACCCTAGGAGAGGCAAGCAAGCAAGAAATTTTACAACAAATGCTCCGAAAATTCTAGATCTCAAATCGTCTTCCGAACAGATATTTTCCCGAAAATTGCCATTGGGTGCCCCTGAGTATAACATCACCTTAACCGTACGAAAATTCAGAGGCATAGCCGTTCAAAGTTCCACGTGAACAACGAAATAATTTCACGTTTTATGGAAAACGTGAACACGATTATCAATTTTTCTCTTTTCCGCTTAGGTGGGGTAACCTCCCTGTCCATAATTGTAATCTCTCACTTCAATTTGATCACGTTTACATGATAGGTGGGGTGACCTAGCGCATGTTACCTCACCTATCTGTGGTCCCCCATCTCCATGTAAACAGTCCCTAAGAAATTAACTCCGTCCTAGACAAGTCCAGGACTCGCCTGCATTTGACAAATTATGCGTGTTGGATTCATCGCAATGAAGTTTCAAACAACGCGAATTCTCTTTTTAAGAGACGTTTTCACCACCGTTGCTGAGTTGCAATCGGTGTGCGAATATCTGCTAGATACACGTTTCTTAAAATCCTAAAACTGCCGACGAAAAGGCAGACGTTTTAAAGATGGGAACTTAGTGAAAAAGCAAGCACGTCTCGAGCTTGGCGATATTTTTCATGGATGAAGAAAAAACAATAATTGGATTATAAGTGGTTGTATCACTGACGATAACAGTTCTACTGTATACTACAGCTCACCAGTCTATTACACTGTCCCTTTTCTGTAAGGTACAACAGATTATCAATTGCCACCAGCAACGATGAACCTCTGTCATGCGGCATAATGACCCAGCTGCTGGGTGGAGCATCCAAACCTGGTTAAAAAAATTACGGGTCAGTTATTTAAACGAAGTTTAATTTAAGCCGCGGTTTACGAATCTTTGGACCTCCAGATCTCTTCCTTAGTGCGTTAAATGCTTTTCTAATCTACTCTAAATGCTTTCATAAAACACTTCACAATAAACGGTGTTTAGATAAAACCGTTAGGCAAATTGAAAAATGGCTCAGAACGCGGTTTTGTTAAACACTGGCTAAACTACGTTTAAATAACTGGCCCTGTTTCTTAAGATTCATAACTGGTCATTTTTTGCCGTCCGGTTAGCTCAGCTGGATAAGCGCCGGTCTGCTGAGCGAGAGGTCGCTGGTTCAACACACCGGCCGGATCAACACTTAGGCAGGGGTCTTTTAATGCTAGGCAGAAAGTGCTGCCTTTCCAAAGACATCTGCAAACGATTTGACTTTCTAGTTTTCTCAGATAAGGACAGCCCTCAGGTAGTTAGGTGACAGAATTTTAACGAGTTGGGATCGAGAGCAGTTATTGTTTTCCTTGTGAAAAATGTGGCAAAATACACATTTAACTAAGACAGATCATTGAAAATATTTAAGAGAAGAAAGCCTGAAAAATATTCACGCCGCAAAAAAAAAAGTTAGAATTCAAGCCCACTTGAAGTCAGTCAAATGCTACAAGGAATAATGCGTGACAAGATTTCTTTATTGCCTGTTGAACAACACTTTAACTCTCATCAAATTCAAAGTTATCACAAAAGGAAAGTGAGGCACAAGCAGATATTGAGTTCTATGGATCACAAAAGCACGTGAGATGAACATGTAACTTCAAAATAAAACATTATTAATCTCTCTGAAACACTGAACTTTATGATTATTTTTTTTACCGGGTGGGTCATAATACCGTCGACTCCTGACCTCTTCCACGTTGTTTGCGACATAAAAGTGGTAATTACTAGTCAGGATAGCTATGCCAGTCCTTCCAGCAAAATTATAGGTTTTGCAGTCAATAACTTTGGATTCCTTGGCATCCTACAAAATAATACAGATAAAAATTACGAGTTTCGTCTCCTGCACCCAACTTAAAAGCACCAGATCTATGAAGTTGCTGTGTATTTGATAAGGCCACATGCAAAAAACGACATAAATACAATGTCTGTTATGGGTTAAAATCATATCCAGGTTGATTCTTAATTTCCTTTGCCTCATAGAGTTAATTCATGAATGAATTAGGACTAGGGGACAAAGGAGATGGAGAATCAACCAAGGTTTCAAGCTTTTAACCTGAATTGAAATTTTGACCTGAAACATACACGACATATGGGTAATATTATTCAATGGCTATGCCTTTGCTACAAAAAGTATATGTATGAGTATACTCTATTTTTGTACAACCCTTTTAATAAAGTAGCAAACAGTCTATGACTTATGTTTTTGATGATAATATATTATAAATTACATTCATTTTGCTCATAGTTATGGAAAAATTAATGATTATTTAATTTGTCAGAAAATTTATTTACTTGGAGTGGTTAAAGAATTTACTGACATAAGATATGGCATCAATGGGCTAAGATGAGCTTCAAGTTGACTAGAAGTTGTCAAGCTGTGGTGCTTTACAAACATACATGCATCATGTCTTCTTTTTCAGCCTTTTCATGACACAAAATGATTTAACACTCACCTGTCCCATTGACAAGGTTTTCTTGATTGCGCCATGAATGTCATACACCATCACCGTACCATCATCAGCCACGCAAAGTAGGTCCTCTGTGACGGACCATCCCATCTGAACTATGGGGCCTCCATCCCACTAAGAATAAAAAAGAACACTTGATCAATAGCTTACAGAAGCAGAACATTTTTGCTTTTGTTCTTGTTCCCATGCAGTGATGGACTAGTATTCTTCACTGCTGCTTTTAGCGTTGTCACACAACGCTCCTCCCCACAAGGGAGGTGGGTAGGAGCATTGTGTGACAACACTAAAAACGGCTGTGAAGCAGACTAGTGATGGACTAAGATAGATCCATTCTGCCTGCTTCAGTAACTAGTCAGAATATTACTTCATCTTTCCTGCTCACAGAACCAACCATATGATAATACAAGTTCCCGCCCTTTTCCAATGCAATAACAGAAAATAATGACAGTTAGTCTTCTAGCCAAGAACAATATTCACAAAATTTGTTAATGTTAAACAACAAGTAGCCTGCTCGGCCTGATCGACACTCCTCTTTGTCTGTGTTCCCAGGTTAAACAACAAGTAGCAGTAGACCTTAAAAAAAGACACATACCTTAACTGTGGCAAGTTCTTTTCCAGCAGCGGAAAAAATGTGAATGATGGGTTTATTAATAGCTGATCCTTGGACTCGAGCAAAATGCTTGTCTTCTCTTATCAGAACTGAAAATTTTAAATACAACAAATAAAAACCATTCCTCCAAAAAGGAAATCTCAATGTGGGGAGCTGCAGGACATGTAAATATTTAGGTGTACCGTCCTCACCCCCATGTACAGTTGTGTAGGAGCTGCTTGTAAGGTCTCTTCTTATTGGTTGCAGAAAACAATGACTTCATTCTTTCAATTGTTTCAGTATTGTTTGGGGTCGGGTTAGGCACCATTGGTGACTTCTATTCTGAGAAGCTGCTACATGATCCCCCATGTATGTAGAAGAGTACATGAGTTACCAATGGTGTACATTAGCGATTAAACCTACCGCGGTGCTTAAATCCCAATCATCCCAAAAATACACCACAGGGGCATTAGGCAATTTAGCATGGAGCCCTTCAATTATATATTTTTTTAACTATTACTGACAGTTAAGCATCTACATACAACACAGCTGGACTGCTTTTATCAATTGCATGTTTTATGCACTAGCTGTTCTAAAATAATTAGAAGCAGGATGTTCTTCAGAGTTGTTTTCTTCCTTTAAACTTTTTCAGCCAAATCCCTTGACATGTAAAGACAGTTGACTGAAACAAAATTCTGGTACAGTATAATGGACTCTTGCTGATATAGACATACAGTACCGTTCAAAAGTAAGTTGACACTTGATTCTCGATCCTTGCGAGAATTGAGAATAGAGATTCAAGTTGAGAATCGAGACTTGATTCTCAATTGTTGCGTCTCAATTCTCGATTCTTCATTCCCGCAAGACCCATCAAACTGGAACGGCCTTTGTTTAGTTTCAAGTAACTTGCTCTCTACTCTTGATACCCGACTGCTGTGAGAGTCTACAAGTAACAACCTTTGTTCAAGTTTTGAGTAATCTTCTAATTTCTCTCACGTCAGAAAAGTCTTTGTACTCTATAAAATAACAAACGCTACTCAGCGTTTGATTCTTGTGAGAAATTCCTGAACTATGCAAATAGCAGTTGACAGCTGTCTCGGGGAGAACTCTTCAGGAAATTTGCATTCGTTCGCACGGCTTGTGTGCTACTTTGTGTTGAAACCTTTAAATTGTTTGAACGGCATTTTGCATCATTCAAATAGCAAAAGTTGCCAGTTCACTAGTTAAACTTGAAAAGCAATCCATGACCTTTTGTTTTTAAAATCCAAAATAAAAGGAAGCTTGTGTAAATAAATGTTTAATACGCGATGGTATGTAAACAAAGTCTTGTTGCTTTTGGTCTTCAGCTTGTCTTTCGAATTCTACTTACTAATTTTTTTTTCGATTGCCTGTTTGTGAATGCCCATCAGCATTATCGCGGTTGAATGTCTGCTCATCGGTGTCCAAAGTTAGCGTGTTTTTTTTGCTGGAAACTTTACTTGTAATTAATTCTGCTTGTAACTTGACCTCTTGACCAGAATTGCTGTTTTTGTGATACGTGCACGTGAAAGCATCTCAGTTTGATATTTTGCCCTTTGCTTTTTATGGGACGTTATTGCGTACATGAAAGTTTCGATTTGAATATACATGCCAGAAAACTTCAGAAACCTCCAAGAGCTTTGAAAACAATTTTTAGTAGCGTATAATACAAACCACTTGCGCAATTTTTCATCACGGTAGCTGCAGTCACCTGCTAGGCAACGAAAAAGTTCACTCGTATCCTGTTCCATCACGGAAAAAAGCAGGCCCAATTTTACGAGCGATTACCTCAAACTAAGAAAGCGCTAAATTAAAAGTAGAATCAAAACCATTGTTTCTCGAAAGTTTTCAAGGATCATGAACACAATTTCAGAGCAAAAAATCAGTCATGTTATGGACGGACGTGTATGTTACAGCTGATCTTTATCAAGCCAAGCGGCTGATTAAGCCCAGAATCGTTTGACATTACAAAATAAACGTGCTGTTTCTTTGCATTTGGAGCAGGTATTTGAAACTTTAGTTGAGGAAATGAAGCTTGATACAGATGCCCTTGAAGAAACATTCGCTTTATAAAATTTTTTGAATTGGTCTTGTTTCACGCATACAGTCGCTTGTGGGAATGTAACCATACCGCAAAATTGTAAACTTAGAGAAATCAGTCATGGGTGAATCTTTTGTTTTCTGTCCTGTGAGACTCGATTCTCGACTCGATTCTCGATAGCTTGTTTTCGATTCTCGATTCTCAATTCGCGCAGGAATCGAGAATCGTGAATTGAGTCGAGAATCGAGACTCGCAATGGACTGTCAACTTACTTTTGAACGGTACTGTAACTTACAAATTAACGCCGGAACTTACAGTGATGTTAAGAGCATTTCTTTGATTCTGGCTCTGAAACGTTTACCATGGTGAGTCCTATTTACCCTACAATAATGAGGGAAATGAAACTTGTACTCCCTGTACAAGTTAAACGACACTTAGAAGAAGTCTGATGTACTTACCTATTGGACCACCAAAAGGTGCTGCACTCACAATAAACCAGGATAGATCCACAGCATCTTGCCACTCCATACTGTACAGCTCTACTTTCCTGTTCAAGACAAACACATTTTGTGAAGAAAACTTCTGCTGTAATTCAATTATAGCTACAGTGTGTACATTTAAAATATTTCTCCATCCCTGACTGATTGGCTTAAATTCCATGGCTGCCCCGGTATTTCTTTCCTGAGCCTGCTGGTTATTTGCCAAAATTGAAAGGCTGATGTCAAAAGTAAAGTCTCAGACTGGAAAAGGTAAAAAAAAGATTACAGGTGCATGCAAGCCAAAGGCCCAAAAAGGCTGGAGCTTATCCCCGCTTCCTTACCATGAAGGATGACTATAGGAGTCTTGCCATTCCCTGCTCCCCCCTAGATGGGATGCTAGTCCATCGGAGGGTTACCCCCGAGCAGTATTTTGCGGGTATCCATTTTTAGTAATATCCAACTAGTGGTCTATGATCAATGCTGCATTCTGATTGGTTGAGCTTCTACTAGGCTATATGTTATAGCCCACTACTAGCGGAAAGCGCTGGCTTTGAAAACCAAAACGATGGTGACTGAATCGCGTAATGCTAGCTAAAGTTATTTTGTCTTGATAGTTTTGACCAACTAGTCGGATTTTACTAAAACAATTATTCCTCTCGCCCTCATGGCCTCTGAGTCAATAGCCCATTCGGCCTTTGGCCTCATGGGCTATTGACTTACAGCCTATTCGGGCTCGAGGAATAATATTGTTAAATACACCTGGGTGAAGAGAGGCAAAGTGGTGTAAAGGTCCTTCTCAAAGGAAACCATTCGAAACGGATTGAAACCATTCAAAAAGGATTGAATCCTGGACCTCCAGATCCGGAGTTCAAGGTGTTAACCATTCTGTCAGACACACCTCCAAAGTGGAAAAGGATGCACAGAAATCAAACAAAGAAGCAGAGCGATGGTTTGGCTGTTTTGGTGTTGAAGACCAAGAGTAAATGGTAGAAGATTTCACATGTTATGGGTAGATTAATGCCTGAAGTAAGAACACCCTAAAAGCCTGCCTTACCTGCAACCCAGCCACAAGCCCCGTCAGCCACAGCCAGCCCCAGCCCAAGCACCCATCACACTGAACTGAGAGTTCAGTGGAGAAATAAGGACCACAATAATACTAAGAAATAATAATAAGGGGTAAGGAGGAAGGGGAAAAAACACTAAAACTGAGCAACACTGAGCAAAACGCCCTGAACACCATGCACTTTAAAACTACGAGCACATCATTGCAAACGCAGACGCATAAAACGCAATGGAAACCACTGACACAGGGGGCACTGGAAATTATCCTGCAACAGGCCTAGTACAGTAACATGAACCCCGGAGAAAACAAAAGAGCATAGGATAACTGCCAGCTCGCCAAAGCACACCAATATAAAACCCTAACAAACGTCAACGACACGCCACGCCATTGCCACGCTAATGCCAAGCTAACTACTGAGAAGCTACTGGAGCTCCTCATCGTTAACTAAGTTAAGTAACTATATTTAACCTCATTAAATTTTCTGAACTTCTCCCTCAAAAACTTTGAAATAACACAAAAAGACACTGAAAACTACCATTTGAAGAATATCAGCAAGAATATTATAGCCCCTCAAAATCTGGGACTGGCAAAAAACAGGCAGATGTTTGACTACTGGAATTTTACATAAAGGTAAGGATGTCTTCAGCTTGGAGGAAATATTTTGAATGAATAATAAAACAATAATAGGTAGCATTTTATATGGGCCGAGCCAGAACTTGGAGACAGTCTGATCTGAAAAGAACCACTTACCTATAAAATACCTTTCCAAGTGGATTCCAATCAACTGTAACGTGAGCCATGTTATTCTCTAAGAGTGAATGAAACGAATAGCAAGTGTAATCGGGGTAGTTTAACCAGGATCTAATAAGTGCAGCATTTGTAAACTTCTCGTGACCGCAGATCCACTATTTTATTTTGCATCTGCACACCAACTGGTCAGCAGACCCTGTAACAAGTAGAAAATCCCATGTTTCCAGTCGGGTAATAATTTTTTTCGTGTAAGCGTACATGAAAATGCTGGAAGTGTTCAAGATGGCTGTCCCCAAAGCGAAGGGCTATCGGCCAAGATGCTTCTTTGATGTTCAAATAAATGGATCTCCAGGTACGAAACGTTAAATTCCTTGGATTAAATGTTTGCATTGGTTGCTGTTTTTCAAAATTTAATTTATGAAGTCACTTGGGAAGAGAAGCGGCTGAAATTCAGACTATAATTAACTCTCAATAATATGGAAATAATTATAAGCTTATTAAAGCTTATATTAAGTTTAATATAGCAGAAGTTTGATTCTTTGATTTTAATCAATTTCTATAATTTTAAACTTAAATCAATATGGCTGTGCAGTATTGGTTATGAATGCTTACTTCTCTTGATTAATGATGTGAGCCTAATGTGTTAACACTGGGATAATCTAATCTTTTTTATGGATTATTCTGGCTAATTAATTTAAATCAATAAGGTTTCCAATGAGCAACCTCAGTCTGCTTTTTACATAGAAAGAGGAGTAGGTGGATTGAAAGGAAGACTGATTTGAAAGAACTTCAAATCTAAAACTCTTAAATTTTGCTTGATTTAAGAATCAATTTTGCATTCTTTGTAGCTGGCAGGATTATTTTTGAACTGTTTGCTGACATCTGTCCTAAGACATCTGACAACTTTAGAGCATTGTGCACAGGTAAGGAAGTTCGTATTAATGTAGATACATGTACTACCACTACCACTACCAACTATTATATTAATATTAATAATAATAGTAAAAATGATCATGATAATAATAATAATATCTTTTTTCATATTACATGTAAACATTAGTGTTTTAGAGTTGAGATCAGTTGATGCGTCGTTGGCCATATACTCACTTGTAAGTGGGATGGAGTCATAATATTAAATTCATGGTCACTTCCTTTTTTTGTTTATTTTACTAGTGCATACATACATACACATATACATACATTTTATTTGTTACACACGTATATCCATTTTATTTGCATTTTAAGATTGAAGCACTATTGTAACATACCCCGCCTTGGGTAGCTATGCTAATCTAGAGGGGTCCTGTTTTCAGGAAACAAATACAACTAAAAATAATAACAGTGTTACAGATAAGAGATGGGTCTTGGGTCAATGACCCGACAAATAAGGCTTCCTGACCTGACAGATGACGTATAAATATTACACTGTAAGTTAAATATAATGAAAAATAATTTTTTCATTATATTTAACTTAACTGACCTTCTCCAGGAAAACGTACACTAACGGTTTTCCGTTTAACGGGTAAAAACTAACGGCTAACGAACGGCTTGTTAACGGCTTTTCTAACGCCCTTAACGGGTTGGCTAACGGTTTGAACGTGTAGGCGAAAAAATCTAACGACCTACAAAAGCGTTCGAACGGATTTGCTTTGATTTTCCTAACGACTTTTTTGAACGTTTCTAACGGGCGGACTAACGGCTTCAAGAAACAATCATCTAACGGTCTAAGAGAACGTTTGATAAAAATCAAACGTTTCGAGTGATAACAGCTCAAAGACTATAAAACATTATGCGCGATGAAATCAGTTGTACCTGTCTGACATTTCAAATCATCTGAGTCGTCAATAAAACTCGGGAGACAGACAAGACATAAAATTCAGTTAAAAACCCAATCTTTAAAATTCGTTTATTACTCACCAACGTTCGTCCAAGTGATGGACCAAAAGTCGCAATGTTACTTCCGTTTCTCGAATACTACATGTAGTACGCAAACATTCACGTGCATGAGTTCGAAGTTTTCGCTCCTGTCTCGCGCTGTGGCCGTTTTGAAAATAAGCAAGAGCTTTTCTAGAAAGTAAATTATAAAAATTGATACATTTTCCCTGTTCTTGATCATATCTTGACTAAAAAAGCGAATTTTTACCGCTTCTTGGTTGATTGCTGCGTTTTAGTTCGATCGATCCTGACGATGTCGCCGTTCAAGTGCAGCATTGTCATAGCAACCACTTGCTCAGTCCCAGTCCTTTGATGTCATACAGGTATTCTCATTAAAATGTATTTCCCACGTTTGTCCCACGGAACTTAAAAAACACAGACAAAAATTATCCACTTATTTTATTTATTGCTACGATACCTAACATTACAAGTCTGAGAGAAAATCTAATGGAAAACAAAAGTTCTAAACATCGAGGTATACATCAAACGAGAGAGCAAATATTTTATAAATACATATCGGACACGGAAAGCGAATCTTTTTACATTTACATCAATCTAGAAAGCTGCATTTAACAATAGATCTAAACAAGAAAGCGAAATCTAATTGGGACGCAAATTTTCGATACCGATACGGCCGGAAATAGCAAATCTCTGTGCTCGACATTTGGCATTTATCTTGGTTTTCACGGTTCGCCAGCACTTGCCCTCATCCTCATCGGGTCCAACCATCAACCATCAACAATGCATCAAGCGGACTGTCCTGGTACCAATAGTAAGTTTGCGTGCTTTCGTTCGCTTTCGCTAAGAATAACATCCTATTCTTTTATTTATTTATTTTTTTCATAAAAAGACAATAGACGCGGTAACCAGAATTAGCGGCTTTCATCCTATAACTTGAAGATTCGTACGCTCAACTACAATTTATTCGACATGATAGTTATCTTTGTGAAAATGTGTAAACTGAGATCGTGTGAAGTGTCCAACAGAAGAAATGGTTTACTGGCGCCTCCAGGTAAATAATCAGAAAACCTATTCGCTTACATGTTGCTATTAATAGTTTGTTACGTACGTATGTAAATGCTCGTGTGTTCAAGTGCGCGAATGTAGCCTGAACGACAAACGCATGAAAGTGTGAGAAAACGTATGTGTTGCAGGTTTTAACCGAGTACAGATTGGGCGATAATCAAACGAATGTAGAGCGATAACCTAACGATTATAATTTCAAAGGACATAAAACAGAATAATCAAAAGAACTTCACTCATTAAACGTTCTAGAATGCAAATCTAACGACTTTGCCGAACGACTTGAACGTCCTGGAACGAAATTTCGAACGACTTTTTCTAACGTTTTGAACGACCTTGACTAACGCCTTTAACGGTTTCTCTAACGCTTCTAACGGCAAGGCAAATTTTTCTAACGGTTTTACTAACGGCTTGAACGCTTTCCCAAGCCGTTGTAACGCTTAGTTAACGGGTTGTTAACGCTTTAAGCCGTTAAACGGTAAACCGTTAGTGTACGTTTTCCTGGAGAAGGTCACATTATTTAGCAGGTGGTCTTGGTGACCCCTCAGATGGTCTACATGACCTCCCTCTTGAAATAATTAACTGGAACACTGAATAAGAGGCCTAAAAAAATGCCAGAATTGACATAATGATGAGAGTACTAATAAACTACTGCAATAATGCATAGTTTCATGAAATTGCTGAACTCTTAAGGAAATTAATGGCTATTTTTTTAAGTGATAAACGTGACATTTCATGGAAACTTTAGACAAGATTTTTGGGATTAACTTTGAACCTGTTTTTTAGGAGAAAAAGGTTTAAGCAGGACTTCTGGGAAGGCTCTTCACTATAAAGGATCAGGGTTCCATCGAGTTATCAAGGATTTTATGATTCAAGGAGGAGACTTTACTAAAGGTACTTTTATTTTTATATCAAGATGGTAAAAGAAAAGGCACACTTAAGCTAAAGGCTCAAATGGCAGGAGCAGCGCCGGACAGAATGCTAGTCCAATGCAGGGTTACCCTCCAGCAGTATGTCGCCAGTGCCCATTTATACACCTGGGTGAAGAGAGGCCAAGTGGAGTAAAGTTCCTTGTCTAAGAAAACAATGCAATGGGTGACTTTGAACCACAGACCTCCAGATCCAGAGTTTGAGGTGTTAACTGCTCAACCACACATATCAAGATGGCTCAAATGGACTTTTCAGAGTTAGAGCCTTAACTATTGTCATTAGCAAAGATACTGGAAAACAATCTCCTTTAATAGCTGTATTGTTACCTAGGAATTTGTTATGACTGATGTTATTTTGACACAAGAGTTTTCATCACAATGTGTAAGTGGCTTGTAAGTGTGCCTAAGTGTAGTTTTTGCAAAAGAAGTTGCAGATTGTTGCAATAAAACCTTTTTCGATGTATAAACGGTAGGTTCTGTATCTTTACTTACATTAATAAGATCTTTTTGTGAGAGTTGCGAGGGAGAGGTTTTGTAACAAGAACAGCAGTTTTTCACAGAGTTTTTAAAAGCTTCTGACTATTAACACCTGATGCAAGGTGCTTGTTACTTTTCATGTTCGTATCAGGTATTTTTTTGATCTGTAAAACATGTACAACATCAGTCTTCTAGGTAACACTAAGCAAAATTTTTCCTTGGTTTCTCACTGGACGTGTGTCAATAATTTTTTGCCAAAAATTGCCGCTTCAATGATTCTGGCACCACGCGATTCTAGTAGCGTGATGATAATCACGTAGTGTGCGACAAGATTCTTATTGTGTAGGAAATGAGACATGACTGGTAACTTACTTTTGAGTGGTACTGTATGTCATGTGCTGTACAAATCATTCTTTGCAAACCTTTGATCAATTAGAGCATGCATTTAAAATTTGTTACGTGATAAAATAAATTATATTTTTCTATTAATTTGTCTATCACAGGAAATGGTACTGGAGGAGAGTCCATTTATGGTGGCACATTTAATGGTTTGTAGCTTCACAGTATTAATCTCAATAACAGGACGTGCACTTAGAGTCAGATTTAGTTGCAAAAATTGAAGAAGCGCAATTTTTGCTGAGGATTGAGTATAGTAAACCTCTAATATCTGAATATCTGTGTTATAGTCAAACAGGAATTTTATCAGTAGTTTGTCAGGCCTCGTTGTAAACATAAAATTGAGTTGACTACGGTGAAACCCTGATATAACAAAGAGCCAAGGGACTGGTGAAATATGTTAATGTCTCTGCCCCTTTATGATGCATGTTAAATGCAAAGTAATTTAATTATAAAACAAATAATGACAAGTTGGGATTAAATAGGGGAGCACTGCCTTGCGCTAGGTTAGCCTGTGCGACTTCCGGCAATGGCGTGACCAAAAAACCTCGCGTATCTCCTCAGCACTACGAACTGAAAGCAATACAGCACGTGCTGGATCGAACAAGAGTATCTTTTTGCAGGACATATTAAATGGCAATGCAGCCAACAAGCTTGGGGGGAGTGGCTGTGCAGACTTAACTGTAGAGGAGTGTCTCTAGTTTATTGATCGCATAGCACAAAACAAAGCCCAAACCTCGATTGTCTCCAAAGGGAAGGAGGGAGGGAAAAATTTTACAAGAATAGTATACTGAGCGCTTAAACCTTGCTGAACAATAGAACCCAAGTGAACTCTGAACAGTTGTTCTTGGCTTTTATAACAAGACGAACATCTGCTAGCATAGCCAGTGGAAAAGGCTGTGCTACAAGACAGCTCAGCATTGCATGTGCAAATTCTTAGCCATAAATAGTGCTTTGAAAATACTGGCCAATACTGTGGCTCGTAGTAGCCTACTTAAGACAACAAGGCTGTAAAATTCTACGCTAGAATACAATGCATCTTAGAGCTTGCTGAACTTGACAACTTGACTACACAACTGCTTTATTGAAAAAGAACCGCAATGAAAGGGTTGCTGATAACTAGCATCACGTTCCATCAACTACATTTTACTGGTGTGACAGTGAAATTTCTTTTTGTTATAACAAGGTTTCGTTGTATCGAGGTTATTTTCCATATATTTTACTATTACTATACTGGGGTTAAAAGAAAATCGTTCATTATATTGAGGACTTTGTTATATCAAGGTTCTACTGTTCTGCAATGACTCTTATCTCAGGGCTGTCGCTAAAATTTCAAGTTGCTGGGTAAATGCAGTTAGTAGGAGGGGAATTGTACTGAGCTAGGAATTAGTTCTTTTGGTTCTGTTTTCTTTTTGTTTCCTATAAGAGAAGCCAGGGCTCACACTCATAGTACCCAGGTAAAATCCCCGACCACTGGTTCATAGTGACAGCCCTGTATCTTCCAGTGAACTTACACCTTATGCAAATCTGTGTCTCACAATTATTATCTTTTACACAAGATGTTCTCAGGTTTTGATTGGTTTATATTAATCTGTCAGCCAATAATTCAGCTTGCTTATGATGTGGAGAATGAAACAATGTTATGCAATATTGGATTATGCATTAACATTACAGATCTCAGCATTATGACACTCTCATTGATCTTCATTACTATAACAGTAAAAAGGGCTTAATTTGCTTATCAATAATAAGCAAATTACACCCTTTTTTCAGGAAACCCTTATTTTATTATTAATATTATAAAGCTGATCTAATGGGATGTATATTTTTAACTGCGTATAACATAACATAACATACATGTTTATTCAAACTCATAATGACCACATGAATTTGAAAGGGAGAGTCTAGAGGTTAACCCTATGAATAAAACTCTCCTAAAAACAACAAACAATAAAAATTACAATAAAAATTACAATAAAAATTACAACTTTAAAAAGGATTTGAGTTTACATTTAAAAAGTTCAAGGGAACCGGCTTCAACAACATTACTAGGTAAATTGTTCCAGTAACTAATTACATTGTTAAAAAAAGAATATTTAAAACAGTTGATTCTAGATAATTTACAATAAAGCTTATACGAGTGATTTGCCCTAGTGGATTTGACTTTTGCGAATTGAAAGAATTCCTCAAAATCCAAGTGTGATAAGCCAAACACGATCTTATAACATTCAACAAGAGAGGAATATGTCCTACGACTGGACAAAGATGGCCAATGTAACGAGTCACAACGCTCTTCATAAGACATATCACCTCTTTTTTGCCTAAGAGCTAATCTTGACGCGCGTCTTTGCACGCTCTCTATTGCATGAATATCTTTGACAAGATATGGGTTCCAGACTGGAGCAGCATACTCTAGAAGTGGTCTGGCCAATGTTTTGTAAAGCAATGAAAAAGTTGTTGTATTAGCTGTTCCAACAGACCGTCTTATTAGCCCTAGGACTTGGTTCGCCTTATTCACCATGGTAGTAATATGTTCACTCCAAGTAAGATCTTTTGATATAATAATTCCAAGATCTTTAAAGCTCTTGACATCTTTTAAGGCCGTACCTAGTTTATAATTCGTAGTCGATTTGTCACGAGAATGCGTTATTCGCATTGCTTCACACTTTTCCTCATTGAAACGAAGTTGCCATTTTTTCGCCCATTTACCAAGATTATTCAAATCAGTTTGAAGGTATTGTTCATCGAGACTAGGGTTGCGAAGCTCTCTGTAAATCTTAGTGTCATCCGCAAATAATTTAATTTTTGAAGAGACACTATCAACGATATCATTTATATATGATAGGAATAAAATTGGACCAAGAATAGTTCCCTGTGGGGTACCAGATATCACAGGTGCCCAATCAGAAAAAAGTCCCTCTTACAACAACTCGTTGCTTTCTACACGTGAGGAAATGCCTCAACCAGTTAAGAAGTTTGCTCTCAATACCGAGGCTATATAACTTTATGAGTAGACGCTCATGAGGAACACTATCAAAAGCCTTTGCGAGATCAAGAAATACAACATCTGTTGCTACAGATGAATTCCTAGATTTGGCGAAGTCATGAAAAGTAGAGAGTAATTGGGTCACAGTAGACCTACCCTGCAAAAAACCAAATTGGTTTTTGTTTATCACGTTATGGTCTTGCCAAAATGACGTTAACCTATCGCGTACGATTTTTTCGCTGATTTTGCATATCATGGATGTAAGGGACGGTTCATTATTTATGGGAATGACCGGGTCGGGAAAAAACCGAACGGGCTTTGAAAATTTTTCTTGCCGTGGCGACGGGCTTTGTGTTTTTTTCTTGAACAAAGAGACCGGGCTTTAAAAAAAATCAACATAAGCTAAAACTGTGGTAGAAACGCGGCAGTCGTTTGATGAGAACAACACATGGAAACTGTATTCGTCGTTGAAAATTCACCCGGTAAATTGTCGTACTTTCATATCAAATAAATATTGCTACAATATTTTTGGTAATGCAGGGATATACCCGCAAGAAAAAGCTCGCGCTTTGCGATCGAACACTCGAGAATTTTGACAGGCCACGGAATGACACAAATGTACTTTGTGAGCTGCTCTTTTGTAGTTGTTTATATTCCTTGACATTTCAGAGCTTGTAATCAAATTAGAATTTCAAATGATGCATGGACAAGGATTTTAATCAAAGTGAACTCCAACGGTTGGAATATTAAATCTTCGGACTCCGCCAGACTGTACACAAGAAAACAGGATGTTTTGATCGAGGATCTCAAGTTGCAACTCCTACTGAATTGAAAATATTTTTTCTGCACGCACCACAGTGCCGCGGAGTCTGCCAGCCAAGTTCCGTTTATTTCATGCAAAAATAGGTTTACATTCTTATCTGTCTCGGAAATAAACTTTTATTATTTAAAAACGTGAACAATTTTTGTATCTTGTAAATGTGACAAGCTGTGACATTATAAAGCTGTTCATTCATACTTAAAAAGACAACTGAGCAGTCCGCATAGTCTTTGATGCCTAGCGTCTTGTGTTAATTTTCACTGATGGAACAATGATAAAGCTAATCAGAATCTTCGTCTGAAGCCTGGGAAGCGGAAGTATATCCTTTAAAAGTTTTTACTTTCTCACGCATGATTTCGAGTCGTTCATCTATCTTGACCGCGTCTTCGGCAAAAAGACCTTCCTTCCTTAAAAAAAGGAGGGAGTTATATAAAATATTTGGCAAACGATGAAATGCCTCAAGCTGGATGGCATTTGTTAACGTGCACTTTTCACAGATGTTACTAAATTATTGTTTGTATTAATCGCTGAACTCGTTTGATAGCCGTTTGCTGTCTCGAACGGCGCACAGTTGTGTACTTGATCCGAACATGCACCAGTTGCTCTAGTCGTAAATAAACATTGAATGATTTTCACAAGGTACTCACTTCAATTTGAACGGGCTACGAAAAAACAAAATGCCTTTTGGGCGGGCTTTAGAAAGAAAGAGGAAAGCTATTATTTTTTTCCCAACCCGGTCATCCTCATAAATAATGAACCGTCCCTAAGCGAAATTGGTCGATAATTCTCCCTCAAGTGTTTAGAACCTTTCTTATGAAGTGGGACAATGTCAGCTGATCTCCAATCTTCGGGCAAATGGCCCAGCAGGAAAGATTTGTTAACCAGAAATGAGATCGAGGGCGCCAATTCGAACGCACATGATTTTAAAATTACTGGTGAAATTCTGTCTGGACCCGGGGACTTGTTCGTTTTAAGAGACTTAAGATGCTTTAAAATTTCCTCAGTAGTACAGGATATCTAAATAATATATGAAAATAATTAATTTTTTTGTTAACTGGGGTTGAAACTTATGAGAAATACAAGCATGTAATTGTGATAACTGCAGTGATTTACTTGTCATATTAAGTTTTTCATTTTTTTGTTTTGCAGATAACAGATGAAGGATTCCATCTTAAGCATGAGACAGCAATGTTGTTGTCCATGGCTAACAGAGGTCCAAACACTAATGGTTCTCAGTTTTTTATGTAAGTATTTGATCTTTTAAGAGATGGAAACCACCCTATAATTTGAAACCAAGTATAAAATTCAACTGCTCCTGATCACTCAAAGATTGGATAAATGTAGTGCTATCCAATGTATAAATTAATAATCGCTATGGAGTGGTTAGCGTGTCATGAAATCCAATTGCCTTGCCCTCTGGATAGTAATTTACCTGATGAATAGCATTACCCACCTTCTGAGCAACTGGACACTGTTAACTTAATTACACTGGCAAAAATGGTTCAGTTCTTCTTGAATTTCCTGCTGTTGTCTAATTTTCCCCTCCTTTAATTCTCAATTCCTTCCTTTTCTCAAGGCCCCAGGTTCAAGTTTAAAAGAGGGTTTATGTACTTCAATGTATCAACTTGATAATATTAATCTCTATCCAGTCGTTGATCCAGTTGTTTTCCCTAATTAATACTTATCCACTGGATATTAATTTATCTGCTAAATAGCAACCTGATCCAAGGAGTGAACAACTTGGGTCAGATTTCAGGTCTTCCAACTGGCATCTCTGTGATACATAACAATATTGTAGTGTGAATAAAGACAAAGTTTTAGTGTTTTAATTTTTTATAGTGTGTTTATTTTGCTTTTCACAGAACAACTCAGCCTGCCCCACATCTTGATGGGTAAGTTTTCTTTTAACTTGATTCAGCTGTTCTTATTGACAGAAAGGAAATTTCTGTTAGCATTATGACATTATTGGTACAGACAAGACAGTGTTTCACATGGTTTCATTTTTTCAATTTCAATACCCAAATATAAAAAAGGGCATCAAATTTTGCGATATTATTTTTCAAACATCTGAATTTTTAAAAGATATCAAGATAAACTGTAACAAACAAAATGCATATTAACATTATTCCACAACAGAGTAAAAATTACCGGTAAAACCAGTTAACAATTTGTTGTCGATACACCTAGGCTCTACAGTAGAAACAGTTGTTGTTATTAAATCTTAAAATCATTTTATATGATTTGAATTTTCTGTGGGTATCAAATATTAAAATTTTTTGCATGTTATCATTTTGTGAGGATATTTATTCACGCAAACAAATTGTGTGAAATAAAAAAATGCAAAATTAAGTAATGACATTGTACATGTCTTGTGTACATATGCATTTTTCTTTGTTGCAGTGCCACTCAAAAGCAAGTCAGAGATCAATGATTACCCACACTTCAATTGTTTCTCTTGCTAATATTGTGGTATATTTATTTTATTTCTAATATTCACGTGATATTTGGCCATGTATTGCGAGGTCAGGAAATAGTATCAGAGATAGAGATTCAAAGAGTTGATGACAAGAGTAGGCCCTTAGTGGATGTAAAGATTATCAACTGTGGTGAACTTATTCCAAAAGCAAAGGCTAAAGGTACAGGATATGTTTCCATAGACTAAATTTATGTACAGAACTGTGCTCTAACAGCAGTGCTGCCCGCTGACCCCTGGCATCATACTTTTGTTCTTGGGTGATGTCTTACTGTTATTTGTTAACTTTCAGCTGCAGAGAAGAAAGTCAAAAAGAATAGAAGGAAATCTAAGCGACATTCTGATGGCAGCTCCTCAGATACTGACTCTTCATCCAGTTCTGGATCAGAATCAGACAGTGATCAGTCATCAATTGTTGAGTGGCAGAAAAAGAAACGCATAAAAAAGAAAAGGAGAAAAAAGATGAGTGAATCTGTAAAACGCAAGGACAAGAAGAAAGCAAAGAAGAAAAAGAAAGAGATAAAAGACAGGTAAGTGGCTGTAACTACACCACAAATACATCAATACACAAACATTTAACAAATACATACAAAAAATGCAAATCTGGTAAAAATGAATACTGTGAATAAAATAATTAATGACGTAATAAAAAAATGCATAGACATATAATTTCAAAAATTAATATTGTTCGCAAAAAGTACAGCATTCAATAATTCATTCATTACACTCAAATGACAACATGTACTTGTAGATAGATTTGGTTGCGTAGCAAAAAGGACTGATAGAGCCACTGTGCCGAGTGCAGAGCATAACCATGGCAATCAACATGTTGAATTCCAAACAAGTTGAGGAGTAAGGGCAAGTCAAAGAGGTTAGGGAGAAAGTAGCCTGTGTAGCAAGCGTTTTTGTGTGGTTTCAGAGCAAAGAAAGATGGAGGAATGACATGGAAAAGGATTTTTGGTTTTGGCCGCACCAAAAATAGAACAAGAGCAAACTCTTGCTACGCAGGCTAGGGAGAAAGAAGGGAAAACAATATATTATTTTTTCTCCCCTCCCCCTTCTTGCATCCTTTTTTTACCCCATGACTAGTCCAAGAGTTGCTATTTCTATTCTCCCCTGTCTTTCTCAGTGGTCAAAGATGGCAGCCATGGCAATGCAGACAAACATTTTTTGCCCACCTTAAAAATTTGTCTGCATTGCTGGCTCCCCTGAGAGTATTTACACATACCTCGCACTAACCCAGGGTTATCTTAACCCAGCTTTGAACAAACCTGGCCAAGTAAGTGATAAGCAAAGGAATCTCTGGCTACATTTGAGGTCCCATATTACATAATAATGTTGCTTTTACGCCCCCTTCCCTGTTAGTGAAATATTGACACTAATATCAGCAATTAATTTGAATTCCAGTCCAGGAGATGCTAAACCAAAGAGTCCTGAACCTTTTAGTTCAGTGGCTGTGGATGAGATCCCAGATATTCCCAATAATTCTTTTCTATTGAGAAGAAGCCGCACCCCCTCCCCTGTCAGGGAAAAGAGGCTTCAGCAGGCAAAAAATAGGTATGTTTCCTCTGAGGTACACCTGACCTTAATCATTTCTACGAGAGCTGGACTCATTCCCTTTTCGGTGCATAATTATCATGAATTAGGAATTTTTGAGCATGTAAGTCCGTACTAAATTTGCAATGATAAATTTTGCCCAAGGCAAAGCTGTTTCTTTGTTCAAAGCTGTGAGGCATATACTAATAAAATTAATTGTGACAGACAAAAGTACTTTGGAATGGCAAGACAACTAGATTTCATCCACGGACTCAAAACTAAGAACTGCATTTCATCCAAAATGCCTGATTACACACTAAGGTAATGGTACCATGTGAAAGTACTACTGATGGAAGAGATTTCATTTGAATGGTCACACCATAGGATTTCATCCACAGACTCAAAAATTAAACTACATAGTACCATGTGATAGTACTGCTGAATTGATTCTGATGACAAATGGTTCAGAAAAAGTTGATCAGATGTTGAGAGATAGATGGCAGTAGTATCTTCAAGTTGTTTATATTATTTTCTGTTTGCATGACCACAGGAAAAGTAAGTCTCCTCCCGGGTATAAAGCTCCGCCTCAAAGTAATTCACAGGAAAGGACCAGGGTATGTACACCTGCTGAAATGATATTGTTTGGGAGATCAGTAGACCTTATTTCATTGTATCCACCATCTTCGCATGCACTTCAGGACTGATAAATCACGTGACATTGCATTTATCCCATCAACCCTTGAACACGTGCGAAGATGGTGGTTGTTGTGAATAAGGTCTATACCTTCAATAGAAAATATCCACAATCATTAATAAAACAATTACATCCGAGTCTTTTGGTTCTTAAAATGAAGCTTCGATTCTGCGGGGAACTATTTTTCTTTCTTTTAACACAATTATAAAACTTTTTACCCTCTATCATCTATCTCTGTCTGTTTTTCTTATCGGCAGGTTTCCAGGTCGGGAAGGATTCTACGAGGACGAGGAAATATGGTGAGGAAATTCCCCTGGTATTAGTTTAAACTTCCTCACGAGAAAAACAATACACCAGTAGAAAAGGAAATCACCAACTAATGAATCATTTAGGAACAAAACAAGGCAAAACACATATCTGAAAACCCACTACAGTGTACCCCCCCCTCCCCCCCTCCCCCTTCCGCCCCTCTAAGCAAAGAACCTGGCCCGAGGCTACTCCATCGGTTTAAAACAGAACTTAATCACGTGATTTTTATTTTTCAGCGTTATCGCACACCCCCGCCTTCTTCTTCAGATGAAACGCGGAACATTTCGCGCCGTTTTCCCCTACCTTTGGTGACTCGGTCAAGGTCTCCACGCAGGCGTACAAGGTCTCCTATGCGTCGTTCACGATCACCATTTAGACAGTCGAGGTCTTCTCGAGAACGCTCTAGATCTCCCCGTCGACGCTCGAATTCTCCTCGAAGACCCCCGATGTCTTCTCGAAGACGTTCGAAGTCTCCACGAAAACAATTAAATTCCTCACAGAGACGCTCGCTGTCACCTCAAAGACCCCCGATGTATTCTCGACGACGGTCGAGGTCCCCACGAAAACACTCAAATTCCCCACAGAGATGCTCGCCGTCTCCACGGAGACACTCGGGGTCTCCGCGACAACGCTCGAGGTCTCCTCGAAGACATTCGAAGTCCCCACGATCACAGTTACTTCAGAGAACAGATAGCAAACAGCATATGAAAGACCGTGAATCAGCGGAAAGAGTAATGAAACAGAGCTACTCAGTAAGAGATGGTAAAAGCAGTGATAAATTTGCAACAGTTGAAACACGAGGTGAAAGGAACTCAAATGATGAAAAAGCTAACGAATGTTCACCTGCAACTGAAGAGCGCTTTCCAGAAAGGCGACGGGAAGAAGAGGGAAAGACCTTTGCAAATGAAGGCTATGCAAGGTCAAAGTTTTCTTCAATCAATGAAACTGGCAGACACAGGAGAGGAGAAAAAACTAGCAGTAACAGCAACAGTGAGGAATTTGAACAAGAAAGTCGAGACATTTTGTACAGATTGGAAAAACAGAGCCATCTTGCGTGTAAAGAAGACACCAGGGACATACGGAGACCAAGTTCATACTCGAACGGTGACGAGCAGACATGGAGAAGCTTAGCCCGTGATTATGAGTCTGAAGAAGGTCATGGAACTTTGGAGGCACAAAGTTATGCACCCATTCCATTGAGCAAAGAACGTGAAAATAACCGACAACGTCTACAGTCTCGCGGTAAAAATAACGATGAACAGATTTCTCCAAACGAGGAAAGCGCAGGCAGTGAACAAGAGGACAAACGAGCTTTCCTTCAGGGTGAAGGAAGGTTTAAGCATCAGGGTAGCTCAGAACGTAAAACTGGCCGTCGACAGCGCAGTAGGAGTTTTGATAGACGCAGAAGTAGCTCTCAAGAGAGTGACCGGAACCGGAAGTCACCTCATCACCATCGTTGTCATCATCATCGTCATCATCATCATCGACACCATCATAAAAGAGACGCGAGGCAATCGGAAAGAAACATTGTCGTGACCGAGGAAGATAAGGACAGTTCAAGCGACTGACTTAATTGCCTGTAAACTGCTCAAAGATCGGTAAGATCGTGAACGTAAACAGCACTTCAATTTCCAATGTACAATATTTTGTACGTTTCTCTGTAGAAACAGTCGAAAACGACACTAAAACGTGAAAAAGGAAGTTATGTCTTGAGACAAATAAGAAACAAACTCACATCCGTTCAAACTTTTTCCAAGTTTTCCGAAGCTTTAATTCAAACCCCTGTCTAAAGAGAGAAGAACAGGCATTTATTCATGACTTATCCTTTAACGACATATTTATTGTCTTTCTATTCATACTTGCATCAATTTTCCCTTTTGGTGGCTACTTATCGTAAACTGCCGCTTCTACATCTTGGTAAGGGGTTTTAGGAGGGTTTATAAACGGAGGGGCTTACATCCGAGGGAGCTTATCACAGGACTAGAAAACGCTTCGAAGCAATCTACAGAAGTGCTAGTCAAAATAATTTTGCCTTTACTGGTTTTTAACTAAGCGTCAAAAGGTCATAATAAATCGAATTCATTTCAATACATTTGGGGGGGGGTGGGTGGGGATTGTAATCGGATGTACTTTTTTGTTTACGGGTTGATGGGTCAAAAGCTGGTGGGGGTGGGGGGTGGGGGGCTTTATAAGCGGCTTGTTGCGGTATATCCCAGATCGAACCCTAATGAGATGCACTGTCCTTATGATAGCCATCACAAAGTGTCCTAATGAACAGAACATCATTAAAATACTTGTAATTCGATCAAATGTGAAATAGTGTAAAAATGAGAAACAACCCAGTCAAGTATGAAGTATTCTAATACAATGTGTGCTTAATCTTGGATATATTAACACAGGTAACCCAGGCTCTGTGATAGTACCACAGTACGGTTCGAGTAAAATTACAGTGTTTGTATGGGGTAAAAATATCATCCTAAAATTTCTAGGAAATACTAACTAAAGATCAATAAAACCTACTCTGCAGTTAATTGTTGTTGTCCTTATTGCTCCAACAAAGTTTCGTGATAATTTGCAGTAATTTGTTTAAATTCACTCTATCTACAATAATAATATACAAGGTAGGAAACACCAGGTGCCATTTTCGCCGACATGCTCTCATTCAACACAACTTTTTCCCCGAAATTCGAACTCCAACGGAAAATAAACATGCCAGGATCGTAGAAATAGGATAGCAGCAGATATAGAAACCAATGAAGCTTTCCCAGATAGAGAAACGAATCCCACAGACTTTGACAAACTCGAAGAATATAATCCAAACAGACCGAGAATATGCTCGCCGAAGCAGCCGGGCGAGATCAACACGCGGCCAAGAAAATGAGGCCTGGGCACTGTACAAAAAAGTTCCATCCCGGGGGTCCTGGGGTGACCTTTCTAGGGACCGCTACATCATTTGCCCAAAGCCACCCTCCCCTGCTGGAGAAATACTTGATAGAAGGCAATTGTTCTTCCTAGCCAATCACTATTTGCCAGAGCAAACCCCGCACACGCGCCTAAATTTAAATGGCTAAAAAAAATTAATATAATCAGGAGAGTCTGCGGAGTTACAAGGCGCCCCATTTCTTTTACTAAGGAATGCAAATAACAGTAATGAAACTAATGAAATAACGGGAAATACTTACAAGGCGGGCTAAAAACAAGGTTGAACAAAAGGTAGATGATGACTGAGATACTGTTGCTGTGAACTCTCGAGCGAAACTATCGTAAACAAACGGTGAAGCTTACAAACTAATGTCAAAAATTATACAGAAAATTGCGACAGAATATGAATTGCGATAACTGAGACGAATGTGAAAGGCACGTGCACCAGTAAACAAAGAACTAGCGCGATTAAAATATTTAGCGATTAATGCGGCAGTAACACGCCGACTTCTTGTCAATACAAGTGAACGCTCTATCGGTTAAATATGTGAATCATCGTGATACACCCCTCTCTGAATTTGGTCCTGTTGTACAAATGCCTCGGTAAGAGCCAAAATCCACTTATATCTTTTGCTCGTTTTAAGTTTTGTAAATCCTCCTTCGTTGTTCTTTCCTTTGCCCTTATAACCTTGCCCTATTGATGTTTGATAAACTTTCTGAGGACCAGCGCCAGGCGCTGAATGTAGTTCGAGAGGGACATATTCTCTTTATAACAGGCCAGGGTGGTACGGCTAAGAAGAACAATTGCCTTCTATTAAGTATTTTTTCCGCAGGGGAGGGTGGGAACAAGCTGGGACAATAAGGGATTTATTTCATGGCCAAAAAGATATCCTTTTCTTGCTGGACCAAGGCGGAAAATCTCGAAAGGCAAGATGGGCACATCTTTCAGGCTCAGTCGAGTAGCCAATAGGTACACAGGTCTCGCGTCATATTGCCGGCTCGCGTTTTCAGCCATGCTAATAATCCTTAAAATAGCCTGGGTGCCCTGTTGTTGGGGGTGCATCGTTTGCCTGTTTCTGTCAAAGCAATCCAGATTTTTATTTGCGTGATCAACTTTTCAACACGCAGCATAAAACGCTGTCGGAAAGCATCAAAAGTCTTTCCTGTTTTAACGCCTCCGGGGAATTTTATTAACCTGTGGTTATCTGTCCCAAAATCTATAAGGAATGGTAAGCAAGCAATATTCCGAAACCGCGTCATTTTGATTGTGACCTAAATCATAGATATCTTTTGACCCATAAAAGGGTGTCGCCCGTGTCTGTTTATATCAAAGCAATCCAGATATTTATTCCGTCATCAACTCTTCAAGGCAAAATAAATTAACAGAATGTAGAACACTATCGGAAAGCATCAAAAGTCTTTCATGTTTTTAATGCCTTCGGGGAATTTTTTAACCAGTGATTAACCGTCCCAAAATCTTTAAGGAATGGTATGCAAGCAATATTCAGAAACCGCGTTATTTTAATTGTGACCCAAGACATAGAAATCTTTTGACCCATAAAAGGTGTCGTCCGTGTTGGTTTATTTTAACATTCTGTGAAGCCAGAAAATATAATATCATTATTTTCTAGCTTCTGGCTAAAATATTTCGTAACTGCGCTAGCCCCTAAAATTCCCGCGCTTTGTGGTGAAAACAACCCAGTTTAACTCTGGAAAACTGGCTCCAGTTGTTTATCCACCGGAAAAATCGTTATCCAAAGGACATGAAGTATTAGGGACACCAACTGCACTATCCGTTTGATACTGAGATTTATCCAGTGCATAGCGTTAGTTACCTTTTGAACGACTGGGGCCTGGAGTTTAAACACAAAGGCAGCAAATTTGTGTTCCAGGAAAATACACGTTTTAATGTCAACGTCTTTGTTGCAAAAATGCTAAAAGGAGGAAGCCAAGAAAAAAGGGATCGGAGAGAGGAATTCAAGATGGAGGAGGCGGGAGCGGTCTGGACCCCTTGTTTCCCCCCAAAATAAAGTGTAATTAAATAAGCAGCAAAATTGAGTCTTAGGGGACACCTCAAATGTCAACAGTACTGACATGTTTGATGGTGTAAAATGCCGGGAGAAGGGGCTACTCACGATAAGATTTACATAGTTTTAATGTTTACATAGTTTTATATACCATTTTCACTAAAAAGGTACCTCTTTCGTATGCCTTCCATTGAAAATACTACCCGGCTTTTACACGACCTACCTAATAAGAGTGAATCGCTAAAACAGGAAGTGTTTATGTCATTTTAGAGTAACTTTTAATAAAAATAATTAATGAAAGAGTTTTGTACCCTTTCATTTACTTCAACAGTGAATTCCCCTGTCTTCCCAAAAAACAGGGTACCTCTTTCTAGCAGAACCTGGGGGTAAAAGCTATTATAAGGAGGCCCCTGATCCCCCCTCCTCCCCAGGTGTAAAGCTTCATTGAAAAGCCGGCGGTTCTCTTAAATTCAATTTGACTTCACAAACTGGTCTCACGGTTGCTACCTAAAACTAAATGTGAGTCAATTTTCTAGCTTTGCTTGATGAAGACCTGAATGCAGAATAAAACAGTACTGCACAAGTTTAAATTTGATTTCAAGTTGATTGTCTAGTGAAGTGACTGTAGTTGTTCGGCACGGGTGGTCGTCCTGATGGTCGTATATTCTAGGAACGTTTTGTTGCAATACAGTAAAAACCGGCAACAAAGAAACTGCACTTTTCCAAGTTAGCCTAAATAGGTTCTTACTGAAATGGGAATGAGCACAAATTTAGCCTATTTAGTTTCTTAAATAGGTTCTTATTTTAGCAAAGAAAAAAAAAGTAGCTAAGAGTATGTAGTGGTACAGAACCTAGTGATTTAAGAACCTACAGGCTGGAATTTGGCATTAAAATACCCAAAAATATATGAACCTTTTCAGCCTGGCAAAGAAAAATAGGGTCTTATACGAAAATAATCACTTCAATTTTGATGGTCAAAATTCTCGATTTTAATTTTGTGAGAGACTTTTGACAATAGGTTACTGTGTATATGTTTTCTTTGATTTACATTTGTTTGGATTTTCACTAGAAGTATGTTTTCCATAAAGCTACCGTGCAATATAGACGATTCAATATCTTAATATCTTATTTAAAAAATATATAGAAACGTATTAATGTTCTTCTTGGACCTTGATTGTTTGCCATTATGTATTATTAGTACAATATTTCTGCCAATGGTTACACTATGACAACCTCTGAAAAATAAGAACCTTTTAAGAACCTAATCAGCCTGAATTGCGAAAAACTACCCTAAAATATAAGAACCTGTTCAGCCTGAGGTCAAAAATTGTAGGTTCTTATATGTGGGTTTTTACTGTATTCAGCTTATTCTCTAATAAAATCTGCATAGGTATTCAGCTCGGATTCCCTAATAAAATCTGCATGCCATTACATTCAGCTGTACATTGCAGTTGGACGGATAATTCTTCAAAGAGGATCCTGAATGCTGACTTATCTTATTTGTTCAATCTTTAATACCGCCGTATTTCTTTTTATAGATTTT